CACAGCTAATTTTTTGTATTTTTAGTAGAGACGGGGTTTCACCATGTTGACCGGGATGGTCTCAACCTCTCGACCTCGTGATCCACCCGCCTCAGCCTCCCAAAGTGCTGGCATTACAGGCGTGAGATTTTTGTATTTTTAATGGAGATGGGGTTTTTGGCACCCTAGCCAGGCTCGTCCTGATCCCGTGACCTCAGGTGATCCACCTGCCTGGGCCTCCCCAAGTGCTGGGAATACAGGTACCCCAGGAGATGGCCTGCCCCTTCCACCTTGGGTTTGGGATCAGCAACTCATGGAGAAGGTCCTGAGATGGAATGTTTTAAAAGCATTTTGGGGCTGGACATGGTGGCTCACGCCTGTGATCCCAGCACTTTGGGAGGCTGAGATGGGCGGATCACCTGAGGTCAGGAGTTCAAAACCTCACCTCTACTAAAAACACAAAAAACTAGCCAGGAGTGGTGGCAGGCACCTGTAATCCCAGCCACTTGGGAGGCTGAGGCAGTAGAATCACTTGAACCTGGGCGGCAGAGGTTGCAGTGAGCCAAGACTGTGCCTTTGCATGCCAGCCTGGGCAACAAGAGTGAAACTTGATCTCAAAAATAAAAGCATTTTGGGTCCCCCTCCATTTCAGGACCCTCTGTGGCTCCCTGGCTCCCCCCACAACCCCCATTCCCTCCCCTCTGGGGACTCTGCCTTCCTCCAGGTCTTGGCTCCCCATCTGAGGGAGGCACCTCCAGCCACTCCAGCTGTCTTGTTAGATCCCATTTACCCTCCCAGAACTGAAGTGCTCACGTAGCAGGTGCACACACCAAAGCCAGTCCATGGGCTGCTGCTCCCAAGCCCGGGGTAGAAGGGGCAGATCATCTCCTGGGGTGCCTACACTGGTGGGCAAAGACTCTGAGGCCCAGGAGAGTTTGTACAGAGTAGGGCCAGGAGGGCAGAGAGGCTGAGAGGGGACGGTGATGGCCTCTGTCCTTAGCCCCATATTCTAGGCCACAGCCTGTGGGGGGAGGGCAGGCCTACCCCAAAGGACTCAGTTCGGTGGGCACGTGGCTCTGTGGTCACGGCCCACAAGCCCTGAGCACATCTGCCCAGTAAGGCAGGGGTTGGCTCAGGAACAGCAGAAAAACAAGCCCGGAGGAACTAAGTGATTGCCCAAGGTGCTCAGGGCATTACGGCAGAGCCATGACCCCGCAGGGGAAGCCAGAGGCGCTGCCGCCCCCAAGCTGGGCTCCCTTCCTGCATCCATTTGTGAAGCCCGGGGCTACCAATCCTGGCCTTGCAAGGCTGGGCACCAAGCCACACAAGGACAGAGCCCTGATTACCCAGACTCCGTTTCAGATCAGCTTCTCTGCCGTTCCACAGCAGTGTTTCTGCAGCTCGGCCGGAGTGCCGCGGCACCATGCCGGCCCACTGTAACTCCAACCTCCTGGGCAAGTGACCCTTTCCCCTCAACTTCTCACAGTTGGGACTGCAGGTACACACCACCAAGCCCGGTTAGTTTTTTAGAGATGGTTGGTCTCAAACTCCTGCCTCAAGTGACCTTCCCTCTTCGGCCTCCCAAGTGCTGGGATTATGGGCACGAGCTACTGTGCCCAGCCTGTTAGCAATTTTCCGGGTGTACTCAGGAGCCTGGACACTGTTTAAGGCCCACAGGAATGGGCCCCTGGCAGCTGTGATGCCCAGCCCCCCCAGCCCCTGCTCATCCTGCACCAGAGACCCTTCCCCAAAACCGCGTGACCCACGCTTGTGCCGCACACCTGCCGCCCGTGATGGGAACCTGTGCTCAGGCGACCTTGTGACAAACTGCTCATGGGATACTTGAGAGACGTGTAAAAAGGCTTTATTTGCAAGGGAGCAGCAGTTTAATCAAAGAGGCCAAATCCCATGTCATCGTCTGATTCTTCAGACTCCTCCTTCTTCTCATCTTTCTTCTCCTCTGCTGTGGAAAAGAGAGCATGGTGAGCACTGCCCGAGTGCCAGGCCAGTTCCCACAGTAGTGAAGACCCCACGACAGCAACAGTCTGAGCCTCAGCCCTCTGCCCACTCACCAAGCCCCCCACTTACCGGCAGCGGGGGCGGAACCAGCAGCAGGAGCTGCAGAGCCTGGGGCAGCAGAGATGGCCACAGCCCCACCAGCAGGTACGCTGGCAAGCTTGCCAATACCTACAGAAAACAGAGAGAAGCCGAGATCAGAGCAGCTGCCCAGCCTGGGAGGCTGTTCCACACACAAGCTAGATGGAACCAGGCATGGCACAGAGTGCCCAACATACCTGGGCCCCACCATATGGTTCCAGTGCCTCCCGTTCTTCCAGAACCCTCCCTTCCCAGCCACTCCTCAACATTCACTGTCAGGGACTTCTCTTTCCTACCTTTCCTACCCAGGGACTCGCCTTCTAGGAATCAGGCGACACTGCCCACCTCCCCACTTTCCCCACCTCCACCCTCCGAGGTCCACTGAACAAACATGTTTATGGGCAGGTAGGGAATGAATAAGCTGCCACAGCGTCCAGATCTCCAGCCACAGCGATGTGCTCATGGCTTGGCCCGTTTCCTGAGCTGGCCCTGTCCTGGTCATATGCAGAGGACAGCAATAGCTGTCCCAACAGCTCAACTTCCAAACAAGTCCCACCAGCTCAGCTGATGTTAACAGAAAACCATCTGCCCAAGAGGCAAGAAGCCTGTGGTCACCCCTGGCACCTAGTCCCCACCGGCAACCCCTTCACAGAAAGCACGGGGTGGAACCGTTTACGTGAACCCAGTTCTCCAGATCCCAAGCTTCGGAGGAATCCTAGGAAACGGCCTCAGGGCCACCTGAAAGTCCAGTAAGAGCATGTGCCCCTGCTGCCCTGCGCCTGGCGTGTCTAGAAGCGCCCATGCCGTGAGCCCACTGAAGCCCTGCTCACTCCTTGGGTGAGGCTTCTAGGGTGCTCTGGTCCACAAGCGAAACCTGGCAGGCCACAGGCTGACCAGCAGGGATTAGGATGGACCATGAAAACGAACATCTCCAGAGAAACTCACCCTGGGCAATCACGTCCTCAATGTTCTTTCCGTTCAGCTCGCTGATAACCTGGAGAAGACAATCGCCCAGCTGCTACGAGAAATGTGCAACTGCAGCCCTGGCCTTACCGATCCCTTCCAGAGTCACAGCAGGACTGGGTACACCACGTGGGAATACGCGCTGGAGTTTCTGGACCTGCGCTGCCCTAAGGGAGCCACCAGCCTTGCTGGTTAAGTGGTGCAACGATAAACGGAATGCAGCATTCTCAGACTCAACGCTGAGAGGACACACCATCTCACCGCATACGCTGACTATTCATATCTGTCTTAAACGTGGGCAAAATAAGGCAGCACTGAAACTGGCTTTGACTTCAGGCTGGAGTGCACTGATGGGATCCCGGCCTCAAGTGAGTCTTCCATCAGCCTGGGACTGCAGGATGAGCCACCGCACCTGGCTCTGTCGGACTGCAGTAGCGTGATCACTACTCACTGCAGCCTGGACCTCCCAGACTCCAATGATCCTCCCGCCTCAGCCTCCTGAATAACTGGGGCTACAGGTTCGAACCATTGACTAATTTCTAATTGTTGGTTCTGAGTATAGAAATTTCTTCTTTTTAACCTTTCGAGGAGGCCCGGTCTTGAGATGTTTTCCAGGCTAGCGTGGAACGCCTGAGCTCCAATAAGCCACCCGCATTGGCCCCCGAAGTGCTGGGGGAGCCACGCACCCGGCCTGCCTGTTTTTTAAGCAATCTCATGCATCTCACCTGTATTGAATTTCCAAAGCTCGTTAGTCCCGACCTTGCCTCATACCCGCCTTGCTTTTTTTTTTTTTCTTTTTTTTCCTTTTGAGACAGTCTTGCTCCATCACCCCGGCTGGAGTCTCCTGCCTCAGCCGGCCAAGCAGCTGGGATCACAAGCGCCCACCACCACACCCGATTAACGTTTGCATTTTAGTAGAGATGGGGGTTTCACCAGGATGGTCTCGAATCCGCCCGCCTCGGCCTCCCAGAGTGCAGGGATTACCGGCCTGAGGCACCGCGTCCGGCCCCTGCCCTGGTTACTTCTCTACCCAAGAAATCACCAACTGGACTGGCACCAGCCGCTCCCCGGACCCTCCAGCATGAGGCCGGATCAGGCCGAAGGACCCCCCCGGTACGGGCCACGCGCCACGCGACGGCTGCGGGGCAGGGGCGGCAGCTACCTTGTTGAGCCGGTCGTCGTCCGCCTCGATGCCGACGCTGTCCAGGATCTTCTTGATGTCCTTGGCGCTCGGGGAAGGGTTGCCCCCGAGGGCAGCCAGCAGGTAGGAGGCGACGTAGCGCATCCTGAGGCGGGCGGAGAGGGCGCCACGGCGGAGTTACCCTGGCGGCCTCCAGCCTGCCCACCCCGGGGCCCCGGGCGAGGTTGCGCGTGGCTGGGCCCGTAGGCCTCTGCCGCAGAAAAACCCCGCCCCGCAGCCCGCCGCCCACCCCCGCAGCCCAACGGCTCCGCATCCCCAGCCCCAGCCCGCACCCCGGGCCCGGCCCCCACACTCACGCGGCGGCGTCTGCAGCGGCGGCGGCCTCACGCGTGCGAACTCGGCGGCGTCAGGGAGGAAAAGGAAGGCGCCGACGCAAGGGGCGGGGGTAAACCGCTACCCAGAAGCCTCTGGGACCCACGCGCGGCGACGCATGAGGCGCATAAGAGGGACGTCAAGAGGCGCTCAGCCAATGACGACGACGGAGAAACCATTCACCCCCCCCCCACCCGCTTCCCTACTCTCTCAGGCAGTTTCTGCGGCAAAGGCGAAGGGTAGTAGTTCCGAAACTGGCTGCTCTTATAGCGTGGGGCGAATGTCCCCCCAAACTCGTGGGGCGATGGGCCAAGCAAGCCCAAGGGGACGGCATCTGTCTTCTGTAGCGGGGGCTCCCATCATGCCACACGACGCCTACAGCTCCCAACATGCAGCGCGGCCCCCACGCCGGGGACGTATTCTTTGCCCGCGAACCACAAGTCCCATGGTACACCGCTTCCGGAAGTGGCCTGCGCCACCGCCCTACGCGGAACTGCACGTGGGCCCGGGCAGAGGCTGCTGGCCATAAGCTCGCCCCGAATCTTTGGTGATTCCCAGGCCGCGGCGACCCGTTGTCCCATGTCCAGCCGGGCTCAGTGAGGTGAGCCAGCGCCTCGGCCTCCCCACCTGGGAGGCCGCCCCCGCCATGCGAGGCCAGGAGAATGTCGTGAGGCGGCGTCGCCACGCACCCCTGGGAGGCGTAGGCAGCCCCTGCGCCGGCCGCTTCGGCCCAGAACTGACCTCGGTGTCCATGTGGACCTCAGCGCATCAGGGACCCTGCTACACCCTGGGGTCCTGGGAGGGAACAGGGTTGGCCCTGCCTCCTAAGGACTGAGTTCGTGTGCGAGGACACAGGAAGCGAATGAAGGAAGCGATCCGAGGGACAGGGACAGAGAGGGAATTGGTCTGGGCAGCCTGAGAAAGCTTGCACATGGCAGTGTCCTTGAGCTAAAATATGAAAAGGAGCCGACCCTGCCAATATCCGGGGTCAGATGCGGATACCTGAGGTGCCACGCAGGCAGCGCCAGCTCGAGTGGAGCTCAAACAACAGTGGGGTTTGTTCCATCAAGCACTGGAACTCGAACTTCACAGTCGCCTTCAGTGGCCTCATTACCCCTTTGTAGATGAGGAAGTTGGGTACAGAAAGGTTTTCTTGCTCAGAGTCACACATCTGGGGTAAAGGCGGGAAACCACCTTGGGAACAATGGGATTTTTTAATTTTTGAGACGGGGCCCCATTCTGTCGCCCAGGCTGGAGTGCAGTGGCTCGATCACAGCCCACTGCAGCCTCAACTGCCGTTCAGGTAGTCCTCCCACCTCAGCCACCACACCCGGCCAACATTTTTTGTGTTTTTGGTAGAGACGAGGTTGCCCAACATTGGGCTCAAGTGATCCTCCCACCTGGGCCTCCTAAAGTGCTGGGGTTACAGGTGTGAGCCACCATGCCTGGCCAGCATGGGACTTATGTAATTACAAAGGGAAGCCATTCAGTGTCTTAAGCCGGTCCCTTCACATTGGTGTGCCACCGTCCATACCAACTTTTTTTTTTTTTTTTTTTTTGAGTAGTCTCACTATTGTCCAAGCTGGAGTGCAGTGGCGTGATCTTTGCTCACTGCAACCTCCGCCTCCAGGGTTCAAGCAGTTTGCCTGCCTCAGCCTCCCTAGTAGCTGGGCCTACAAGCATCTACCACCACACCTGCCTAATTTTTGTATTTTTAGTAGAGACAGGGTTTCACCATGTTGTCTAGTCTGGTCTTAACCTCCTGACCTCAGGTGATCTGCCCGCCTTAGCCTCCCAAAGTGCTGGAATAACAGGCACAAGCCACTGTGCCTGGCCCCTTCTCACTTTTTTTTTTTATCCCAAACAAACTCTGTACCCATTAAATTCCTGTTCCCTGCTCCCCCAGCCCTTGATAACCACCATTCTACTTTCCGTTCCCATGATTCTGACGAGAACACCCTTCAGATAAGAGTGAAATCATACGGTATTTTGCTTTTTGTCTGGTCTCTTTCATGCAGCTTATTTTCAAATTTCAAGTATCTACCTAAATGGAAGTCCCAAAGTCTAATGTAAGTAGAGAGACGTTTACGTGGGCCAGGCTTGAGGATTGCGACCTGGGAGCACAGATGCAGGCTGCCCAGAATTTACACTTGGATGAGCAGCAATTACAAGTCAATTTTTATTTTTTATAATTTTTACATGTATATATATATTTTTTTGAGACAGGATCTTGCCATGTCATCCAGGCTGCTCTCCAACTCCTGACCTCAGGTGATCCACCCGTCTCGGCCTCCCACAGTGCTGGGATTACAGCCTGTGCCACTGTGCCTGGCCTGTAATTTAATCTTTTGTAGAGATGGAGCCTTGTTGTGTTTCTCAGGCTGGTCTCAAACTTCTGGCCTTAAGCAGTCCTCCTGCCTTGGTGGCTCAAAGTGGTAGGATTACTGGTGTGAGCCACTGTGACCTACAAGTGGATTTTTTTTTTTTTTTTTTTTGCAGACGGGAGTCTCGCTCTGTCACCCAGGCTGGAGTACAGTGGTGTGATCTGAGGTCTCAGCTCACTGCAACTTCCACCTCCCAGGTTCAAGTGATTCTTCTGCCTCAGCCTCCCCGCCAACCCAGGTACCTGGGATTACAGACGTCCACCACCACACCTGGCTAATTTTTTTTTTTTTTGAGAGGGAGTTCCACTCTTTTTGTTCAGGCTGGAGTACGATGGCACAATCTCGGCTCATGGCAATCTCCACCTCCCTGGTTCAAGCGATTCTCCTGCCTCAGCCTCCCGAGTAGCTGTGGTTATAGGAGTGCACCACCACACCCAGCTACTTTTGTATTTTTAGTAGAGACAGGGTTTCACCATATTGGCCAGACTGGTCTCAAACTCCTGACCTCGTGATCTGCCTGCCTCAGCCTCCCAGAATGCTGGGATTACAGGCGTGAGCCACTGTGCCTGGCCTTTTACTACTTTTATTATTATTTTTGAGATGGAGTCTCGCTCTGTCACCCAGGCCGGAGCAGTGGTGCAGTCTTGGCTCACCGCAACCTCCACCTCCCTGGTTCAAGCGATTCTGCCTCAGCCTCCTGAGTAGCTGAAGTTACAGGTGTGAGCCACCATCCCTGGCTAAGTTTTGTATTTTTAGTAGAAGCAGAGATTTGAGATGGGGTTTCACCATGTTGGCCAGGTTGGTCTCGAACTCTTGACGACAGGTGATCCACCCACCTCAGCCTCCCAAAGTGCTGGGATTACGGGTGTGAGCCACCGCGCCCATCCTATTTTTAAATTTATCTTGTTAGAGGGAGTCTCTCTCTGTTGTCCAGGCTGGAGTGCAGTGGTGCGATCTCAGTTCACCACGGCCTCTGCCTCCTCAGCCTCTGAGTAGCTGGGACTACAGGCATGAGCCACCAGACCTGGCTGATTTTTCTCTTTAGTATAAAGAGATGGGTTTCACCATGTTGGGCAGGCTTGTCTTGAACTCCTGATCTCAGGTGATCCGCCCACCTCGGCCTCACAAAATGCTGAGGTTACAGGCGTGAGGCACCGTGCCCGGCCTGTGGTTGGTTTTTAAAACGATCCCTCCGGCACCTACGTGAAAGGGGCTGGTGAGCATGGAAGCAGGGAAGCCTGGAAGAGACCTGCGCACCCCAGAGGGAGGGATGGCCGTAGCTGGGAAGGAGGAGGCTGTGCGACCTGAGTAAAGACGCAGGCGTCGCTGGTGTTTGCTACTTTCTCTGCCGGGCCAGGCAGCCGGGGATGCCGGGTTGGGGAGGGCGGACAGAGCAGGTTTCCGGTTCTTGGCTTTGACACACAGCAGCTACGGAGCCTCGGGCCATATCGGATCTGTCAGAGCCTCCTGCCCTGCGGGAGGATCACTGCCAGGGCTTCGGGCCCAGAGTGATGGCTCGAAGGGAAGGGTCTCTGCGGGCCCAGAGGGGAGGTCCCGGCCGGCTTCCCGGAGGAGGCCGTAGGGGCTGCTTGGGGAAGGGCACTGCAGTTGTTCTGGCTTCTGGCAGGGGTGGGTGCGGGGCGGCGGCAAGAGTACCCCCGTCACCCGCGCCGCGGGCCTTCCGGACGGGGGAAGCTGGACGGCTCCAACCCGCTGACTAACGGGAACCCGAGCGCAGCTGCGCGGGCGGCGCGGCAGATGGACGGATGGCGACCTTCTCCTGGGCGGGAACAGGCGGAGGGAAGGCGGGTCGGGGAGGAGCCCGGAGGCCTCCGACGGGGCGGGGTCTCCGGTCTCCGCCCGCCCAGTAACGCGCGGCGGTTTCCCCCGCGCCAAGCGCGCACAGAACAATCCCGGTCCGTTTGCTTCGGGGACCGGGACCGTTCCCATCCCCGACGCCATCTGAGCCGGCAGTGCGCGGCCACCCTGCCCAGCGGACCCAACTGGAAAGGGCGGAGAGCGTTGCACCAGGGCTCATGAATTGGGGGTCCTGGCCTCAGGCCCTCGCCCTTGCACTGCCTTCCCTGACTCGGGGTGTAGTCACCCCCGTGGTAGAGGCAAAAGCTGATGAAACCAAAGTGGGGTTCATTCCCAGACCCGGGGGACAGCCTCAGTGACCTCCCAGCTCCAGGCGTCCGTGGGTCAGATTTCTAGGACCAGGACGGAAGCCTCCCTCCCTCCTCTCTGCTGAGGCCTCCTGCCTGGTGCTGCTTTTCGCCCTGGCAGTCCCACTTCCCAACCCTCTTTCCAGTGATGCCCAGGCCTCGGGGATGCAGGGTGCCCATGAGGTCTCCCCCACTCTCCACCCCAGGCCCCGATGGCTCAAGAGCTCCCCACTCCAGCCAGAGTCCCTGTTTCCCCAAAGAGAGGAGGGCTCCCGCTCACCCCTCCCCTTGCCTCTGCAGCTTCCCCAGGCCCTGCCTGGACAGGCCTGCCTGCGTGCTGGGACATGTCTGGCCTCCAAGGACAGTTGGTGGGTGATGTTTGCAGCAGTGGAGGGGCCAGAGCTGGAGGCAGTGGCAGCGGCTGCAGAAGATGCTTCGGAGGCTGCGGGTGCAGAAGATGCTTCGGAGGCTGCGGGTGCAGGGTCCAGGGTGCTGCCTTTCCTGGGCGGCAACCGGCTGAGCTTGGACCTGTCCCCCGGGGGCTGCCACTGCCTGCTTCGCCTGTGTGTCCAGCAGCCCTTTCAGCTGCTGCAGGTGGAGTTCCTGCGTCTGAGCACTCACGAGGACCCTCAGCTGCTGGAGGCCACCCTGGCCCAGGTGCCTCGGAGTCTGTCCCGCCTCCGCTCCCTGGTCCTCAAAGGTGAGCTCCACCCATTCCCTGCCCTGTCTCCACCTTTCACTCTGCCCTGCCTCTGCTGCTTGGTCCTCAAAGAAAAGCCCCAGTCCCAACCCCAGCTCCAGGCTGCCTCTTGCGGCCTCCCAGGTGTGAACTGTTCTGCTCTTGGCCCTCTCCAGCCCCAGCCCCATCCCCATCCTCGGCGACTCCCACCCCCACTGTGAGGCCGGCTGGGCCCTGGTCCCAGACCACCAAGCCGCCCCTCGGGGGGTCTCTTGCAGACCGCAGTGCAGTGAGTGGGGTGAGGGCTGGAAGGGTGTCTGTTGTGGGGAAGGGTGTGGGTGATGGTGTCAGCTGAGATGAGCTGGTGGTCTCCATCCCCACTTCTTCCATCTGCAGCAGCCTCTCCAGTGTTTCTGTCTGTCCCTGTCTGTCTGGGGTGGGGGTGGGAGGTCGGTGCCTCTCGAGCAGCTGTTTCTCTGGCTGGCAGGGTTGATCTGGGACCTGGGACCCTGGCTCTGAGGGCCACCTCCACCTCCCCCCTTCCCAGGAGGGCAACGCCGGGACACACTCGGCGCCTGTCTCCGGGGCGCCCTGACCACCCTACCTGCTGGTTTGAGCGGCCTGGCCCATCTGGCCCACCTGGACCTGAGTTTCAACAGCCTGGAGACGCTGCCAGCCTGTATCCTGCGGATGCGAGGTCTGGGTGCCCTCTTGCTGTCTCACAACTGCCTCTCCGAGCTGCCTGAGGCTCTGGGGACCCTCCCCGCCCTCACCTTCCTCGCCGTCACACACAACCGCCTGCAGATGCTGCCCCCAGCTCTGGGGGCCCTGTCCACCCTGCAGCGCCTCGATCTCTCTCAGAACCTTCTGGACACACTGCCTCCTGAGATTGGAGGCCTGGGCAACCTCCTTGAGCTCAACCTGGCCTCCAACCGACTGCAGAGCCTCCCGGCCTCCCTGGGTGAGTAGCCGCCATATCCTGCCACACTGCCCCTCGGCAGGGCCTCTGCACCCACAGGCTGGGTCCACAGCTGCCCCAAGAGTCCTTGCACCTCCCTGGCCTTTGAGACTCCCTGAGCGGCTTCGTGGGAGGTTCTCCGAGCCCAGCTGTGGAGGCGAGTCTGACACGGCTGCTCTGGGGGCGGCAGCAGGAGTGTCTCGGCGTCTCGGGCCGCGCTGGAACGGAGCTAAGCCAGCACCTGCCCACAGCGGGGCTGCGGTCCTTGCGGCTCCTTGTCGTGCACAGCAACCTCCTGGCCTCTGTGCCAGCCAGCCTGGCCCGCCTCCCGCTCCTCACCCGGCTCGACCTGAGGGACAACCGGCTCCGGGACCTGCCCCCTGAGCTGCTGGATGCCCCCTTTGTGCGCCTGCAGGGGAACCCCTTGGGGGAGGCCTTGCCAGACGCCCCGAGTTCCCCAGGTAGGCCTGGAGCTAGAGGGGCAGCCCTGGGACCGGACGTGGTCCCCTCAGTGTCCTAGCCACATGTTTCACCCTCCGCAGGGGTAGCCCTCGTTCCAGAAATGCCCAGGCTATTCCTGACCTCAGATTTGGACAGGTACGGGGCGGGGCGAGGGGGCTGCAGGGGTGTCTGTCTGCCCGTCACCCTGGCGCCTCCGACGCCTCCTCCAGTGTTCCTGAGTCCAGGCTCTTGACACGTAGGCCCTTGTGGGTCTGACCCGATGCGCGCTCCTTCCTCACTCAGCTTTCCTGTGACCCCTGGAGGCTGCTCCGTGACCCTGGCCTGTGGCGTCCGCCTGCAGTTCCCAGCGGGGGCCACCATTACCCCCATCACCGTCCGCTATCGGGTGTTGCTGCCAGAGCCGGGCCTCGTCCCCCTGGGCCCTCATGATGCCCTGCTCAGCTATGTGCTGGAGCTGCAGCCCCACGGGGTGGCCTTCCAGCAGGCACGGCCAGGGTCTGGTGAGGGGTGGTGTGGCAGGGGTGTGCGAACCCAGCCCTGGCCCCTGCCCTCACACCGCCCTTTCCTGGCAGGATGTGGGCCTGTGGCTGCTCTTCACGCCCCCACGGGCCTGGCGCTGCCGTGAGGTCGTGGTCAGGACCCGGAATGACAGCAGCTGGAGTGACCTTGAGACCTTCCTGGAGGAAGAGGCACCCAAGGTGAGGGCCGCCCAGGCCTGCCAGTGGCGGGTGGGGAGCTGCTGCCCTGTGCCATGCACCCCTGCCCAGAGCCTCGCCCTGGCACCTTCCACCCCACCCCATCTGCCCTGGACCCGGTCCTTCCTGTCCCCGGCTCGCCGTGCCTTGACCCTGGCTCCTCTGACCATCCACCTCGCCTGTCCCAGCGGCTCTGGGCTCACTGCCAGGTGCCCCACTTCTCCTGGTTCCTTGTGGTCTCCCGCCCCGTGTCCAACGCCTGCCTGGTGCCACCAGAGGGGACACTGCTGTGCTCCTCAGGTCATCCTGGGGTCAAGGTCATCTTCCCCGCTGGGGCCACTGAGGAGCCTCGTAGAGTCTCCATGCAGGTACGGCCAGGGGAGCACCAAGGGTGGCAGGCAGCACCTCGGCCCACAGGCAGGTGCTCAGGGGCCCGTCCACCACAGGTGGTGCGCGTGGCTGGCCAAGAGCTGCGAGCCCTCCTGGGAGAGCCAGAGGCCGCAGTGAGCCCACTGCTGTGCCTCTCACAGAGCGGCCCCCCCAGCTTCCTCCGACCTGTCACCGTGCAGCTGCCTCTGCCCTCTGGTGTCACAGGTGAGAGCCGGCCATGGGGCACACCTGGGCCTCTCGCCATAGGGTGGAGATCTCCAGCCGGGAGCCCTGAGCCTGCTGCCCCTCCCATCCCCAGGCCTCAGTCTGGACCGCTCCCGTCTGCACCTGTTGTACTGGGCCCCTCCTGCAGCCACCTGGGATGACATCACAGCTCAGGTGGTCCTGGAGCTCACCCACCTGTACGCGCGCTTCCAGGTCACACACTTCTCCTGGTCAGTTGTACAGGGTCGTGGGGTGTCCCTTGTGTTGTGCCGAGGTGCAGGATCCGTGAAATAAAGAGACAGGGCACAGAAGGACTGGAAAAGAGCAGCTGGGCTCAGGCCACGCCACCTATGAGCGGAGACAGGCGAGGCGGCAAATGTCCAGGATTTACTGGGTACCAGATAGCGGGAAGGGTAGTGAGTGAGGTCATCTTAAAGACAGTGATAAGGTCAAGACAATCACATGGGCAGTAAACGAGGGGTCCACCCCCATTAGGTCACCTGGGCAAGGAGGGGGGCCGTGCGCAGTGAGGAGTGCAGCGCGCAGTATCTCTTGTCTGGGGCAGGCTACTTCTGAGGAATTCTATAGGAGGACGCTTTGAGCAGCAGCAGAGCTGACAAGGTCCACAGACACCTGCTGGCAGCTTGCAAAGATCTCTCTAGGAGGTTGCTCTGAGCAGCGCAGTAGCTAGAGCTGATAGAGTTCACAGTCACCGGGGTGGATTGCTGGTCTGAGGGCGGCCTCCCACAAGAACTGGAGCAAGGTCCTACAACGCCTTTACCAGGAGCAGTGGCTCTCGCCCCAAGCCTGCCACACAGCGGGTATCTACGATACTGAACGCTGCCGCCTGGGCCATGGGTTCTTGTCCTGGCATAACTGTTTTCCCTTAAATCATGCTCTGCGCCGTGTCTGCTCTAGGCTTTCCTCTATGATCTAAGATATAATTGTACAGATATAGAGAAATAACTGGGTAGTAAGATACTCTTCAAGCACTAATTGTTCCGACTCTAAATTGATACGTGATTATATATAAAGGATTATATAAAGGAAATGACTGAGCAGTAACACCATAAACTGAGATATTCTCCAGGCACTAATCATGCTGGGGACCTGCTGAGCTCTTCCTCGGCGCACAGATCCGGGGTTACCCACAGTCAGTGCCCCCAGCTTCCTCAGCCCCCTCCCCGTCTTTACAGCCTCCCTCACCCCCCGCCCTCCTAGGTACTGGCTCTGGTACACCACCAAGAACTGCGTGGGAGGCCTGGCTCGGAAGGCCTGGGAGCGGCTGCGGCTGCACCGTGTGAACCTCATCGCCCTGCAGCGGCGCCGGGACCCTGAGCAGGTCCTGCTGCAGTGCCTGCCCCGAAACAAGGTGGGGACATGGGCTCGGGGGCTCGGGGCGGTGGCCGGAGGGCTGGGGTGCCGGGTTTTGGTTACCGAGCTGCACAGCGTGCCTGCAGGTGGACGCCACCCTTCGGCGGCTGCTGGAGCGCTACCGTGGCCCGGAGCCCTCCGACACGGTGGAGATGTTCGAGGGCGAGGAGTTCTTTGCGGCCTTCGAGCGAGGCATTGACGTGGATGCTGGTAGGGCCTCCCCGTCCTGGAGAGGGAGCCCTGCTGTCCTCCCTGTGTCCCCTGCTCAGCCCCGTCCCACCACCCCATCCCCTAGACCGCCCTGACTGTGTGGAGGGCAGAATCTGCTTTGTCTTCTACTCACACCTGAAGAATGTGAAGGAGGTGTACGTGACCACCACCCTGGATCGGGAGGCTCAGGCTGTGCGGGGCCAGGTGGGCAAGGGGGTGGGCCCCCCAGGCTGCCTGGGCACAGGGCCGAGCTCTGAACCCCATTCAATGCCCCCTCAGGTGTCCTTCTACCGTGGCGCAGTGCCCGTGCAGGTGCCCGAGGAGGCGGAGGCTGCCCGGCAGAGGAAGGGTGCAGACGCCCTGTGGATGGCCACTCTGCCCATCAAGCTACCGGTGGGACTGAGGGACAGTGGAGAGGTGGGGGCAGGACTGAGGCCCGGGGCGGAGCCCAGGGGCACGTGGTGGAGTCTGGGGCAGAGCCCAGGGTTTTCTGCTCTTTCTCCTTCCAACAGAGGCTTCGGGGGTCCGAAGGGCCACGGCGAGGGGCTGGCCTCTCCTTGGCGCCCCTGAACCTGGGAGATGCTGAGACCGGCTTTCTGACGCAGAGCAACCTCCTGAGTGTGGCTGGGCGCTTGGGTCCGGACTGGCCGGCCGTGGCCCTGCACCTGGGCGTGTCCTACCGAGAGCTGCAGCGCATCCGGCACGAGTTCCGGTGAGGCTTCCACTGGCTGTCTGGAGGGCCCCCCTGATGCTGCCTGGCGGGCCTGTTTCTTCCAGAGGAGGTGGGGGAAGGGCAAACACCAGGCTGGAAAGGAACCATCTGGCCAAGGTTGGCCCAGGCAGCAGGGAACTCCCCGACACTCTGAGGCAGAGCATGGTGGGGGAACTGGGCAGGTGGGCAGGACTCCCTCTGTCCCCGTCCTCTGCCCACAGGGATGATCTGGACGGGCAGATCCGTCACATGCTCTTCTCCTGGGCTGAGCGTCAGGCTGGGCAGCCGGGAGCTGTGGGGCTCCTGGTGCAGGCCCTGGAGCAGAGTGACCGGCAGGACCTGGCTGAAGAGGTCCGGGCGGTCTTGGAGCTTGGCCGCCGCAAGTACCAGGACAGCATCCAGCGCACGGGCTTGGCCCCCAAGGACCCCGAGGTGCCTGGCTCGTCGGCCCCACAGCCCTCAGAGCCTGCCCAGGCCTAGGCCCCACAGACTTCCGGCTGGCCTGGACTTTTCCCAGAGGATGGGCAGATCCCCCACCTTCAGGCCTCTCCAATGTTTGGGGTCGGGGTTCTCCGTGCGCATCAAACCTGCACTGTTTGATTTGCTGTTTCAGAGCTTGATTTGTTGGATGGAGAAAGCACTGGAGGGCAGGGAGCGGGTTGGCAGGGTCATCAGAGGCCCAGCCCTGCTAGGAGGGAGCCCTGCCTGAACACATGCCCCACAGCCTGGTCCTGTCCCCTTCCACTGTGCCTGGGGCCTCCTGTGGGTCCTGATCTTCCTGGGAGAGAGGACCCGTGCTACAAGCTAGCCCAAATGGGCTACTTCGTTTTTCTTTTGAGACAGAGCCTGTCTCCCAGGCTGGAGTGCAGTGGCCTGATCTCGGCTCACTGCAACCCCTGCCTCCCAGGTTCAAGCGATTCTCCTGCTTCAGCCTCCCGAGTACCTCAGGCTAGGGGCACTTGCCAGCATGCCTGGCTAAGTTTTGTGTTTTTAGTAGAAATGGGGGTTTACTATGTTGGCCAGGCCAGTCTCGAACTTCTGACCTCAAGTGATCTGCCCGCCTTGGCCTCCCCAAGTGCTGAGATTGCAGGCACCTGGCTCCAGGTGGGCTACTTTGGATACAAAGTCGCTTTTCGGCAGGGCGACTTGTGCTTCCACCTGCCACTGGCCCTCTGCGCTGGCCCCGGCGTTTCCACGGAGCACCTGTTCTGCCCTGGAGACCATGCCTCCCCCAGGACGCCCTTATCCACCGGTGCTCTGCCACCTGCCCTCGCCCCGCGGGTCCTTGTCCCTGTAGGGGTCTGAGGCCTGGAAACCAAGGAAGGACCTTGGGGTCATGCAGCCTGGCCTCTGCGCGCAGAACTGCCACCTTCCTGGGGCAGGGGGCTGGGGAGGGTTGGCGCGGGGCGTTGGCCTGGTTGGCGCAGTACTCTCGGCCGCCGGCAAGGGGAGCCGAAGCCCGGCGGAGGCCGAAGGGCGGAGCGCGCGCGGCGCCGAGCGGACGCGCCTCCCCGCCGAGGTGCTGGCGGAGCGCGCGGCGCGGCGGGGAGGCGAGCGCAGTGGCGGCGGCGGCGAGCGCGGTGAGTGTCCGCCCCGCGGCTCCCTTCCGCTACGCCCATCCGAGCGGTGCCGCGGCGGCCTGGGGAGGTGACAGCTGCCTGGACAGCGTGGCCTGGGGCGCGGGTCCTGGACCAGCCGATGCCCCGATCCGCTGCTGCCCGGGCGTGAGAGGCCGTGCTCGGCCCCGACCGTGCCGGCGCGCTCCCCGCACACACGTGTCCCCGAGGGTGGGTGCCCGCGGCCCGGGCGCAAGGAGAGGAGGCCGGGCTGTGTGGGGCGCACACGTGGGATTTCACCGGACCTCTGTGGACACGTGCGCGGCCAGGCAGAGGACAGCGCGGTCGGCTGAGCCCCGACAGTGGGGCGGGGGCCTGAGCCGGCCTCCGAGCGGAGGGAGCCGACCCCAGCCCGCTTCTCCTTTGTCCCCTGGCCGGGGCTCCGCGCAGTTGGAGACCCCTTCCGGGACCCTCCGGCCAGCAGGCTAGAAAGCGCCGCCCCAAGAGGACGGGGTCGGCGGGAGATTGAATGGGGAGCCGGCGGCCAGTCCCAGTCCCAGACTCGGAGCCTCACCCCCATTGCCTTTCTTGGGGGTAGGAGGAGCCTGGCGGCTTCTTAGGTGGAAGATTTTACTCCCGCAGATCCGGAAGCAACGGTATCCTCCCGTGGGGTGGTCTCTGCTCTCCTGCTTTCTCCCTGGCTGGCCTGTGGTCTCAGTACGTGACTGTGAAGGGGGGACCGTGAGGGCTCACAGCCCTGGGGCCTGGCTGGGGCTGGCTGCAGGGTTTCTATGGCAACGTCAGTGCCGGGGGAGGGCCCTGGCCAGCTGTCTCCTAAGCCCGGGTAGGAACTGCGGAGTGAGGACAGAGAAAGCGGGGCTAGGCGTTCAGAGGGAACTCCTGCCGGTTCCTCCCCACGCAGAGCCCCTCACTGTCATCACCCCCCACCCAGAAGCTCCTCTCCGCTGCACTGGGTGATGTGCGGGCCCAGGCCTGCCTCTCTTCCTGGGACAAATGGCCCCTCCCCACCTTTGTCAGCCTGACTCCCAGGACTGCCTCCTTCATGCAGGTGCCCCTCGCCGCCAACTGGAGATAGGCTCCCAGAAGGGAGCGGGTTTCTCAGCCCCCGGGGGGCCAGGGTAGGTCCCCAGCCTGACTAGAGCGGAGATGAAGGGCCAGGGCAGCCGAGAGAGTTGTGGCCAGTCTGCACCTGAAGAGTGGGGTGTCCGGGGGCTGGGAGGGATCAGGTCCAAGTTCAGAGGTTGGCTTGTCACCACAGACTGAAGCGGAGAGAGGCAGGTCTCTTGGCGGTGAAGCCCTGAGCCGGACACGCAGAGGGGCAGAGGGCCCTGGGCATGCCAGCTCCCATGCCCTCTGGACCTGCCAAGTGAGCGGGGCCTGTGGTGGCACCAGTGGCCTTTGGAACTCACCCAGCCCTTCCCTGTAGACAGCAAGCCTTTTTTTTTTGTGCCCCAGCATGAGGCCTCCCTGACATGCATCTGCCTTAGCAGATTCCACAGACACGAGTGGGTGTCAGCCCATCTCTGCCCCACAGCACTGAAATTCCCCGTCCAGGTACATATAGGGTACCCTGTACCTGAGAAAGCCTCATCCTCAGGGTACCAGCCCTAGACAGATCCAGGCCAGGAAATGCCCTAGGGTTCAACCCCCAGGCAGCAGACAGGAACCCATGCGTGCTGGGGTTGTGGTGGCCACGGCTGAGGTCCCTGTCGGTGGCCTGGCCGTGTCAGGTCAGCCTGAGCCAGACCTGCCCCAGCTCATCCCTCCTCTCAAGGCTGCAGAACGCCTCTGCTCGCCCAAAGTGAAAGAGAAAGTAGCCCCCCCCAGGCCCGCCCCACCCCGCCCCATGGCCAATCCCTGCGGCCCCTCGCATCCACCCCCGCAGCTTCCCCTCCGGTGTGAGTGCCGGCTGGAGTGTGGAGCAGCCGTCCAGAGCGAGTGCCTGGGGCGAGCAGGACCAGCGGGCAGGTGGCGTGTCGGGGGTAGGTGGCGGATGGGCCAGCCCTGGAAAGCCGAGGTGAAGGTCACGAGTCCCTGGTGAACTGCGGATGTGAGCCAGCCTTGTGGCCCTGGGCCGTGGCGCTGCCGGTGCCCAAAACAGCTGGCCTCTGGGGGGCCTCGGGAGGGGGAAAGGCCCCTGAGTCTGGCTGTGGCTCCCCAGCCCTGCCCCTTAGTGGGAGAGGCCTGGTCTCCCCTCCCCTGTAGTGGGTGGGGGTGCCAACCACAGGGGGCCTCAGGAGGCCAGTCATTCCCCTGCAAGGCTTCCAGGGGTCCCATCATTGGCTTCTATGTGTCTGCGAGTGAAGCTTCTCAGGGATGTGGCGGGGAGGAAGGTGGGCAGGGGCTGGGTGTGGGGGCTGTGGGCCTCTCCTCAGGGAGGAGCTCTGCAGGCGCAGGGTCAAGCTGCTGTGGGAGTCGCTGTACCTGGGGTGGCTGAGCCCAGGTGTGGGGGGCGCTTTAGGGCGCCCGGGATCCCAGCCCCTAGCGAGAAGGGGACAGGTGCCGGCTGCGTCCATCTGTGCTGAAGGATGTGGGAACAGTCACCACAGCTGTCCAGGTTGAGGTGCTCTGGTGGGCATGCTGGCCCCTGGCACTGCCCCCAGGGGCGCCTGGCCCTTTAAAAGCCGGAGCTGGCCCGGGGTGCACGTGAGCCCAAGCGTGAGCGTGCGTGTGAGGCTGGCTGGGAGGACGCTGGCGGTTGGTGGAGGGGGGGAATTGCAGGGAAGCCAGGGTTCCAGAGGTGGGCATGGGACTGGGCAGCAGGTGCCTCCCATTGCTGCACCCTCAGGACACAGTGACAGCTCCAGCCTGGGGTGGTGGGTGAGGGGCCCCGTGTGAGAGGGAGGCTGGGGGAGGGTTATCTTCGGGGGGCCCCACCCTCACTCGTTCCCATCTCTTCCTCCAGGACAAAAGTAGGGGGGCTGACACCTGGAAACTCCCCTGAAGGTGGAGCACTGCCACCTTCCCCCAGCCCCCTTGGTCCCACCCTCTCCAGGCCTTCTTGCCTCTGACTCCGCCCCGACCCCGCCTGGCATCCACCTCTTCAGCTCCCACCTGCGTGCGATTGAGTTCAATGGCTGATAAGCAGATCAGGTCAGATTCCAGTTCTGGCTGCACGCCCCACCCCCACCCTGATCCCTGGTGGAGGAGGCTGGTCCTGACACCCCCTATCCACGCAGCCTGCCTGCCAAGCTCATCAATGGCGGCATCGCCGGGCTGATCGGGGTCACCTGTGTGTTCCCCATCGACCTGGCCAAGACCAGGCTGCAGAACCAGCAGAATGGCCAGCGCATGTACACGAGCATGTGAGTGTTTCCAGCAGGCCCGGGCGTGGGGCCAGCGCAGGGCAGCGCGAGAGGCAGGGGCCCTGCTCCTGTCCCCCACCCTGTTAGGCAGGCGGGCCTGGGGGAGATCCCATGTGGGTCAGGACCGGGTTCAGGGCTGGGATGAGGGCTTGGCCTCTTCTGTGAGCCTAGACGGTGCAGGGCCCTGGGCCCCGGCTCGCCCCAGCTCACCCTGTCCCCTTGGCCACAGGTCCGACTGCCTTATCAAGACCATCCGCTCTGAGGGTTACTTCGGCATGTACCGGGGTGAGGCTTGGCACGGGACGGGCAGGCCCGGGTACCGCCCGAGAGTCTGGGCGGGGGAGGCAGGGCAGGGCGGCCAGCTCGGGCAGGGCGTGTGAGCGTGAACGTGTCTGTGGGGGCTGCGCCTGTGTGGGGGGACTGGATCCCCGGTGAGCCGAGGCAGCTCCCCGCCCCCGCTTAGTGCCTGGTGCCTGGGATCCCATGGCATGTCTGCCTCCTCTGAGGTGGTGGCAGCCGCCTCTGCCTTCTGGGACGGGCTGGACCCGTCTGGCTGGAGATGGGAGGGAGTAGGGGCCACGACTGCAAAGCAGCTTAGGACACAGTCTGCAGCCTGGATTTGGCAGAAGCTCTACAGCCCTGAGTTCGGGGCACTGTGATGAGGCTCTCCACCGCCTCCCCCGAGCTCTGGCCCACTCCAGACCACGCGGCCCCAGTCCCCTGCCAGCACAAGCACCCTCTGTCCACCCAGGGAGGGAGAACCCCTCAGGGAGGCATCAGGGGTACCCCCATGCCCTTAGCAGCAAGACGCTGCCCAGAATCAGAGACAGATGGAGCTGCAGTGGGCGTGGGAGAGCCTGAGCCAGAGGTGCTGCCTGGCCCTGCCTGGCACACACCAGGCCCAAATATGGGTGAGAGGGCAGGAAATGGTGGCCAGGAGTGACGGGCACAGGGCTTTGCCAGCCAGGAGGCAATTCCTGGCAGAGCACCTCCCCACCCAGGCCACCGAGCGTGTCCCCCAGGTGACCCCCTGCTCCACAGGAGCCGCTGTGAACTTGACCCTCGTCACCCCCGAGAAGGCCATCAAGCTGGCAGCCAACGACTTCTTCCGACATCAGCTCTCTAAGGATGGGTGAGGGGCCTGCCTGGGGTCCTTGGCTTCAGACAAAGGATGGGTTCCCCTGGCCAGCTGGGCCCCACATGGGGGCTCTGCCTGTCTTCACCCCCTTGCCTGGGGCTTCTTTGACCTTGTGGGGCAGGCTCCCTCCTTTTCCCTGACCAGGGGAGCAGAGCAGATGCCAAATCAGTGGGGCTCTGGCCCAGCTGTCCTTGGCACCCAGCCGCTGCCTGCTGCCCGTGTGAGTGAGGGCTTGAGGGCACTGACCGGCTCCCCCATCCCTGGAGGGGGCTGCAGCCCCTTTTTGGGGCACTCGACCCCCAAGTTCCCATTTTCCTTTCCTGGAGACAGCCCCACTGCCTTTCCCAGGCCCCTGCCTTGGGGCCATCTGTCCATCAGGCTCCTCCCTGCCCGCTGCTGCAGGGCTGGAGGTGGGAGGAAGGGAGGCTGTCCTCCCACAGGCCTGCGCCTGCCTCCACAGTTCCCAGCATCCTCTGCAGCCAGGCACAGTGGGCAGCCCAGAGGGTGGCAGGTAGGCTTGTCTTGCTGCTCACCGAGGCCCCATCCCTACCACAGGCAGAAGCTGACCCTGCTTAAAGAGATGCTGGCGGGCTGCGGGGCTGGCACCTGCCAGGTGATCGTGACCACGCCCATGGAGATGCTGAAGATCCAGCTGCAGGATGCAGGGCGCATCGGTGAGGGGGCAGTGGGGGGAGCGCAGGGCACAGAGGGCCAGAGTGTGTCCCCAGCCCACTTTGCCCAGAAGAAGAGACAGCAGCTCCTTTCTCCCCAGCCGCCCAGAGGAAGATTCTGGCTGCCCAGGGCCAGCTCTCAGCCCAGGGGGGTGCCCAGCCCTCAGTGGAGGCTCCAGCTGCCCCTCGGCCCACGGCCACCCAGCTGACCAGAGACCTGCTGCGGAGCCGCGGCATTGCTGGTCTCTACAAGGGACTCGGGGCCACGCTGCTCAGGTAGGAGGCATGGGATGGGTGCGAGGCGGGAGTAGAGGGAGGGCTGGCCTGCCCACCCTGCCGCCTCCTGTCCCCACCACCTCTGCCCTCCTCACAGGGACGTCCCCTTCTCCGTGGTCTACTTCCCGCTCTTTGCCAACCTGAACCAGCTGGGCCGCCCGGCGTCCGAGGAGAAGTCGCCCTTCTACGTGTCCTTCTTGGCCGGCTGTGTGGCCGGGAGTGCAGCTGCTGTGGCCGTCAACCCCTGTGACGGTTAGTGCATGGGACAATGCCTGGCTGGGGCTGGGGCGGGAGCAGGCCCTTGACCAGACGCAGTGACCCGAGCACCCCTTGCAGTGGTGAAGACTCGGCTCCAGTCACTTCAGCGGGGGGTCAATGAGGACACCTACACCGGGTTCCTGGACTGTGCCAGGTAGGGAGGTCCCACGACGGGGGCCTGGGGGCCTGCATACCTGCACACCAGGCTGACCCTCCTCTCCTTCCCCATAGCCAGTGGGTAGGGCCTGGGGGCCTGCAAACTGAGCTGACCCTCCTTTCCTTCCCCTCCCCGCCCCCTACCAGGTTGGGCCTGGGCACCTGCTGACCCTCCCCTCCTTTGCCTCAGAGGGTATGGCTTGTGCACAGGGCTGACCCACCCCTTGCTGGGCAGGTGGGGCCTGGGGGCCTGCTTACGGGCTGACCCTCCCTTCCTTTCTTGAGGCAGGCGGTTGGACCTGGGGGCCTGGAGGCCTGTATACTGGGCTGTCCAGCGCCTCCTTCCCCAGGGGGGTGTTGCTTGTGCTCAGGGCTGCCCCTACCCTCCTTCCCTGGAGGCGGGTGGACTCGGGGGCCTGGGGGCCTGCAGACCGGCCTGACCAGCCCCTCCTTCCTCCACAGGAAGATCCTGCGGCATGAGGGCCCCTCGGCCTTCCTGAAGGGCGCCTACTGCCGCGCGCTGGTCATCGCACCCCTCTTCGGCATCGCACAGGTGGTCTACTTCCTGGGCATCGCAGAGTCCCTGCTGGGTCTGCTGCAGGCCCCCCAGGCCTGAGCCAGCGCCTGCTCCACCCCAGCCAGCCGGGCAGGGCCAGTGTGGGGCCGGAGCCAGGCAGCCAGTGCAGGACAGAGTAAGGGAAGACGTCTTCCCAGCCCTCCCTGTCGGCAGGGGCAGCAGGGGGTGGGGTGCAGGGTCCATGTGGGTGCTGCCCACACCATTGGGATCAATGTCTTATTTATGTAGAAAATGCAGAAATCTTTACATTCCTCCATCCAGCCCCTGCCCAGTCCTGCCCTGGCCTGAACACCCCCAGGGACAGAGCTGGTCTCTGGGCTGGGGGCTCCAGGCCTGGGCTGGACAGGCTGGACCATACCGGCTCCAGTCTCCATGGCCGTCCTGGTCCACACAGGGACCCTGCACAAACCTATTTATTGAACCTGCTGGGCCCAAGGAGCCCTCCAGCCCTTCCGTCCTTCCCCAGCTGCTCTTGTCGCCTTGCAGGACCTGACTCTGCCTCTCTGGCAGACTTGCAGAAGGACTGGGGTCCCCGACCCTCCATGTTGAGCTAGGAATCCCAAGCGAGGGTTGCCCTGGGGTGTGAGTCTCAGGTCAAGCCCCCTACCCACTGTGGGACTTTCTGGTGAGCCCCTTGGCTCCCACCCCAGGCTGGGGCCCAGACTGTGAGGTCTGTGTGCGTGTGCGTGAGTGTGTGTGTGTGTGTGTGTGGTGGGGAGCTGGCCTGGCCCTTGGGTATGGGGCTGCCGGGGGCTGCCCTCCTTCCTGCCCAGACACTCTGTGTGCTGTGTGTGCCCCAGGCTCTGTTGACCCTGTCCAGGAATGAACTTACCCAGCCTGGCCTCTCTTCTGAGTCCTCCACCCTGGCCTGGGATTGGCCAGGTAGCAGGGTGGGCATGGGGACCAGTGTGGAGCCTGAGGGGGTGCTTCCCCGCTCTGGAGGGAGGGCTGCCCCAAGTCCCCTCAGGGTCCACCCTTCTCTCTGGGCCTCTGCATAAGGCCCTTGACGACACTCCAGAAGCCCCGTCCTCCCACCGGGCCCATCCCTATTGTGAGCCGAAGCTCTCCCTGCCCCACCCCAGCCATGTGATCGTGCTGGTGCTGTGTCCCCCAAACCAGGGCCCTTCTCGGAGGCCCCTTCCCAGTGACACTACCTGGGGCCCAGGCCCGGGCCCCCCAGTTCACGGTTGTTCCTGGGAGCTGCCCCTCCCGTCACCTCTGAACCTTGGAAGCCGCCGCTGCTGCTTACAGAATTATATTTTTTTCTTTTGAAGAGTTTTAAGAAGTTGTAACTTTTTGTGTCTTGTCTTGTCAGAGGATAAATAAATATTCTAAGTAGATGCTGGCGTCTGTCCGGGGGTCTGTTTGGGGGCGGGGGAGGCCAGTCCCCTCTTCCCATAACTGGCTTCCCTCAGACTGCAGGGTAGGCCCACGCACCCACCCACCCACCGACCAAGGGGCACCCTGGCCTGGAGCGAAGAGGGGGGTGGGGGGTTGCTGGGTGCCGCCCCACCCCCGCTCCCGCTCCCTGCCTCTGGCTGCTAGGGATGCGACTTGAACCCCCACTGCCGCTCTCCCTGACCCTAAGCTTGGCCCCCACCGCGGGTCTGGGGCGGAGCTCGGTTTGCGGCCCCCGTGGTTCCCCGCGGGGCGGGGCCTCCGTCGCCCCGCCCCTGCCCCGCCCTCCAGCGCCCGGAGCAGTGCATTGTGGGAAACTCCCGAGCTGTCCTCCGCGTCTGCAGCCGCCGTGGCCCCGCGGAGGAGCGCGCAACCCGGGGAAGGCCGGAGGACGCGTAAGGCGGGGGGCTCCCGGCCGGCGGGGTGGGGCGGGCGCGGGGTCCCGCGGAGCGAGGAGGTGGCTCCGAGCCTTGAAGGTCAACGGGGTTGCGCGCGGGGGTGGGGGCCTGCTCTCCGGGACGCAGCTGCTCCCGGGACTAAGTGCCACAAATAGCGAGGTTGGGGGGGCAGACCACCTGCCCTTTGCAAACTTGATGGCCAGCAGCTGGCCCCCCAGAACTGCCAGGGCGAACGGGTGGCTGGGCTTCCCTGGAAACTCGGCAGCAGCTGGGCCTCTCCCGGAGACGCCCTCATCACGCTGTGACCTTCGGGTGACCTTCAGTGTGGTCAGTGCACCTGGTGGGGGGGGTGGGGAATGCGCCTCCCTGGGTGTCTTTCCCTGCAGGTCAAGGGGATTTCTCATCCTTTCCTGGGAGAGGCAGACAGGTGGCTTCTAAGGCTCTGGGGCAAGACCCACTCAGGTTCAGGGCAGCTGGACCCCAGAGCTCTCCCCAGCTCTGCCTGGGTCGTGGAGAATCTGGTCACCGCCCTTCCCACCGCCCAGAACCCCATCCTCCACCCTGACCCTCGGGCCAGATGCAGCCTGTGCCCACCCTGTTTCATGCTGTCTGCCCACAGAGACAGCACGGCCTTGGGCTTGGCAAGGACTCCAGCCCCGGGGCTGGTGGGCAGCACCATCCCCTGTTGGGGAAGGGGCCCCAGAGGCTGGGGAGGGGCAGACGGCCCAAGGAGGCACAGCCCCCGCACTGCCAGCCTGGAGAGGAACCTCGGTTTTCTCAAGACTGGGTTCTTGTGGGCCACCGACCCTGAGGGCCACCTGAGATCCCAGGTCCTGCCCCTCCCTGCCCTCCTGCACCAGGACCCTGGCCAGGTCGCAGCCTCGGGGACCAGTGTCTGCAAAGCAGGAATGCTCTCCTGAGAAGGGGCTCCCATCACCTCCCCTCCTTGGAAGGGAGAATGCTCTTCCCTCCAGTTCTCAGGGCCAACCTCACTTCCCCACAGAGAGCCTCCTGCGGCATTTGCATGGGTTTCACAGAGGAGCGCAAGGAGGCCCCTAGCTCCTCCCACCCAGTTCCGCTGGAGGGGCTCCTTGGGGAGTGGTCATGGATGGACCGAGGCCAGGCCGTGGAAGAGAAGCGCCTGAGGCCCTCAGGAGGTCCCTGAGCTGGGGCTCCAGGGAGTCCAGAGAACTGGGCAGGGGCTTTCTGGGGACCAGATGGTTTGGGCAGTGTGGGGCGGGGGTACTGGACCCACAGGCAGCCTCTCTGTATCTCCCTCCAGGCCCATAGAATGCCCAGGGGCGGTGAGCTGTTCTGAGCCCCTAGTGCAGCCACCTGCCTGGCCCATAGGCCTCGCCCACCATGGAGTCCAGAGGGAAGTCGGCCAGCAGCCCCAAGCCCAGCACCAAGGTACCCCAGGCCACCACCGAGGCCAAGGTGCCCTCAGCAGCCGATGGGAAAGCCCCTTCGACCAAGCCCTCGAAGAAGGAGGCCCCGGCTGAGAAGCAGCAGCCACCGGCAGCCCCCACCTCGGCGCCGGCCAAGGCGGACCCCGCCCTCCTCAACAACCACAGCAACCTGAAGCCGGCCGCCACGGGCCCCAGCAGTCCCGATGCTACCTCAGAGCCCAAGGGTCCTGGGGACGGGGCAGAAGAGGAGGAGGCTGCCAGTGGGGGGCCTGGGTGCCGAGGTCCCTGGTCCTGCGAGAACTTGAACCCCCTGCTGGTGGCTGGGGGTGTGGCCGTGGCAGCCATAGCCGTGATTCTTGGTGTGGCCTTCCTGGCCCGGAAAAAATAATACCTGAGGGCAAGGTGGGGGGCATGGAGCCACTTCCTGTACAGACCTGAGGAAGCCAGTGCATGCAGAGTTCACCCTTATTTACGTGTACACACGCACGTTCATTACACACTCATATATGCCCCAACACACACACGCAGTGGAGAGGAGGCCCAAGCCTGCCCTGCTGATCCAGGACCTCCCCAGCCTCCAGCACAGAAGGAGCCCAGGCTCCCGGGTCCACAGCACGGATGCCTGGAGGGGGCACAGCTGGGGAACTGTGAAAAAGGAATGGATCCTGTGTGTGGCCTCCTGGGCAGGGTGATCCGGGCCCCCAGGGCTGGTCTCTGAGTGCAGGTCGGGGTGCCAGGATGGGTTCTGCCTGGGCCCTGTCCTGGTGGGGACGTTAAAGTTTGCCCCACTCTCCCTATTTCTGCTCTTTTCATACCCCTGGGGGTCTGCCTGGGCTGAGGCCATGTGACCGACCTGGAGTGGTCCCTCCCCATACCACTGGAGCCTGGCTGGGTAGAAAGACGGAGCCTGAAGCCTGGCTGTGTTTGGGGCTTCCCAAGGGTTGCCTTCCCCAGCTTGTGCTCCAGGGGAGCCCTGAGGCTGTGGGGGAGGCAAGGATGTCGAGGGCCCCTGGAAGCTGTGCCCGCCCCCTCCCCCCCCCCCCGCGCTAGACTGCCCCTCCAGCCTGCACCCGGCACCCTCTGCGTCTATCCAGCGTATAAATGCAATAACAGGTAGAGTAGAACTGCTTGGTGGCGACCGTCACACTGTCCTCGGCCCTGGAGCCTGACAGGCCCTTTGCACAGACCCCCTCAGTGTGTGCGGCTCCTCGGCACACAGCAGCAGGCGAGCTCCTGGGGGTGGTGGTGGGCGCTGTGAGAACGGGGTCTGCTCTCACTGGCCATCGGCCGCGGGAACCCTGGGTCTGAGTGGAGGCTGAGTCTGAAATAAACTCTGTTGTCTAAAGGCTGGGCTTGCATCCTGACCTGCATGTGGGTCAGGTCAGTGGGGAGACGCAGGGGCTTCCCACTGGGGAATGGAGGGGGGCGACATCCACCCCCGGGCTTTCCAGGGGCAGGGTGCTGCATCCAGGTCCCTCTGGCTGGCCCCCCTGCCACTCCTATGCCCTTAACCCCGGAGGCTTGGACTGAAGCCCCACCCAGGCCCTGCCCCATCCTCCTCCCTGGCCTTCTTGTGGGTCCTGGTCCAAGGTGGACACCCAGGGCCTCCAGGACCAAGGAGCGGTGAGGACATGGGGCAAGGAAGGGCAAGCCCCACTCTCAGGCTGAGCTCTCCAGGCAGGGGAGGCACTTCCTCAGCCCCCCTGCAGCGAGCCCCACATCCTGAGAGCGGAAGAAGCTCCCCTCAACACCTCTCAGTTCACTCTGACCAGGTCTAACTGGCAGCTTAGCCATGGGTGAGGCTGCAGCATGTGGGCCAACAGGACGCAAGGCCGCCGCTGCCCTGGAAGTGTCCCCATGAGCTCTGCGCCCTGCGTCCCTGGAAGTGCCCCCGTCAGCCCTGCGCCCTGCGTCCCTGGAAGTGCCCCCGTCAGCCCTGCGCCCTGCGTCCCTGGAAGTGCCCCCGTCAGCCCTGCGTCCCTGGAAGTGCCCCCGTCAGCCGTGCGCCCTGCGTCCCTGGAAGTGCCCCCGTCAGCTCTGCGCCCTGCGTCCCTGGAAGTGCCCCCATCAGCTCTGCGCCCTGCATCCCTGGAAGTGCCCCCGTCAGCTCTGTGCCCTGGGCCCCCAGGCCACACCCCACAGGTGACTGAGGGTGGCAGACAAGAGCCTGCCGGCACCCTCCCCACCAAGCCTTCTTCAGACGGTGGGGGGACAGCCCAGCCGTGTCTCTCTCCTGCCCTCCTGGCACACTAGCTCCCCAGAGGGTTAGTCCCTGTATGTGCTCCCACACCAAGGCCCAGACAGATAAGACAGGCGGGCGCACGGGGTAGAAACAGCCTAAACCGACGCTGCCGCGCTCACCCAGGCTGCCCTGCGACAGCCTCCTTCCACTGCCACCCGTGCCTCTTCCCCCTGCAAGTCGAAGAGGCCCCCTTCCCCTTGAGCCCCACGACCCGAGCCCGGCCTACAGAGGAGATGGCTCCGTGCAGACGCTGCTCACGCCTCCAGCTCCCAGCTCACCTGCCCATGGGTGCTGCCGTTGTGATAGGCCAGCAGAGCCCCCACCACCTTGACCTGCCCTCCAGCCACCCATTCTCTCCATTCTGTGGCTTGTGCTTTAAAACCAACCAGCCAGCCCTTTGTGATACAGCAGGGACTTGGGAGGGAGCTGAGAGGATGGAAGATGGGTCCGCCATCTTTACCCACACGGCTTGGCGCTTCGCTGCTGTGATACCCCACCCATGATGCCACCTCATTTCACTTAGTGATTCTCTGTTAAAGGATGCTTAGATTTTCCAAAACTTTTTCACCTTTACATAAAGCAGGAATGGAAATCCTTGTAGGCCGGATGAGGTGGCTCACACTTGTAATCCCAGCACTTTGGGAGGCCGAGATGGGTAGACCGCTTGAGCTTAGGAGTTTGAGACCAGCCTGGTCAACACAGTGAGACCCCCATCTCTACAATAAAAATATAAAAAGGAGCCAGGCATGGGACGTGGTGGCATGTGCCTGTGGTCCCAGCTATTCAAAAGGACCTGATCTGGGGACGCTGGGACTATAGTGAGCTATGACTGTGTCACTGCCCTCCGGCCTGGGCAACACAGCAAGACCGTCTAAAACAACAACAAAACACCAAGAAAATCTTTGTGAAACCTATTCTAGCCGGGCGTGGTGGCTCACGCCTGTAATCCCAGCACTTTGAGAGGCTGAGGCAGGCAGATCACCTGAGGTTGGGGGTTCAAGACCAGACTGACTGACATGGAGAAACCCCGTCTCTACTAAAAACACTAAATTAGCCGGGTGTGGTGGCTCATGCCTGTAACCCCAGCTAGGCGGGAGGCTGAGGCAGGAGAATTGTTTGAACCTGGGAGGCGGAGGCTGCAGCGGGCCAAGATCATACCAGTGTCCTCCAGCCTGGGCAACAAGAGTGAAACTCCGTCTCAAACCAACCAACCAACCAACCAACCAACCAACCAACCAACCTCTTCTGGATTCGGGGAACAGCATGCCCGTCTTTTTTGGGGTTCATTGTGTAAACATAAAATTTACTGTCTCAGCCATTTAGAAGTGCACAGTTCAGCAGCTTCATGTGCGTCCATTACCACCGTCCACCTGCAGAATGCCTCGTCACTCCAAACCGACACTCCGTCCCCCTTACACAGACTCCCCCCCAACCCCTGGCACCCACCACCTGCTTTCTGCCTGGATGGCTCTCCCAAATCTAGCATTGCCTATAGATGGGATTATGCAGCATCATCCCTCTGACCGGCCTGGACCTGTCTGTTTCACTCAGGGTCCATCCATGATGTGATCTGTTCAAGTTCCCTTCCTTATTCATGTTATTTTATTTTTATTTTTATTATTTTGAGATGGAGTCTTGCTCTGTTGCCCAGGCTGGAGTGCAGTGGCGCAGTCTCGGCTCACTGCAACCTTTGCCTCCCAGGTTCAAGTGATTCTCGTGCCTCGGCTCCTGAGCAGCTGGGATTACAGGCGCCCGCCAACACACCTGGCTAATTTTTTTGTGTGTGTGTTTTTTCTTTTTTCCTATTAAACCAAAAACAAAATTTTTGTGTTTTTAGTAGAGACGGGTTTTCATCATGTTGGCCAGGCTAGTCTCAAACTCCTGACCTCAGGTGATCCACCCACCTCAGCCTCCCAAAGTGCTGGGATTACAGGCATGAGCCATGCCCTACCCTTTTTATTTTATTTTATTTTTTGAGATGGAGTCTCTTTCTGTCACCCAGGCTGGAGTGCAGTGATGTGCTCTTGACTCTGCAAACCTCTCCTCCCGGGTTCAAGCGATTCTCCTGAATCAGCCTCCTGAGTAGTTGGGATTACAGGCATGCACCACTGTGCCCGGCTAATTTTTTTTTTTTTTTTTTTTTGAGATGGAGTTTCAGTGTTGTTACCCAGACTGGGGTGCAATGGCGCGATCTCCGCTCACCACAACCTCCGCCTTCTGGGTTCAGGCAATTCTCCTGCCTCAGCCTCCTGAGTAGCTGGGATTACAGGCACGCGCCGCCGTGCCCAGCTAATTTTTTGTATTTTTAGTAGAGACGGGGTTTCACCTTGTTGACCAGGATGGTCTCGATCTCTTGACCTCGTGATCCACTGGCCTCGGCCTCCCAAAGTGCTGGGATTATAAGCGTGAGCCACCGTGCCGGCCTAATTTTGTATTTTTAGTAGAGTTTTCTCAGTGTTGGTCAGGCTGGTCTCGAACTCCTGACCTCAGGTGATCCACCCACGTTGGTCTCCCAAAGTGCTGGGATTATAAGGCATGAACCACTGGGCCCGGCCCAACTTTCCTTCCTTTTTGTGGCTGATAAAAGGGGGAAAAAAGGCTGGGTGCGGTGGCTCTTGCCTGTAATCCCAGCACTTTGGGAGGCTGAGGCGGGCGGATCACAAGGTCAGGAGTTTGAGACCAGCCTGGCCAATATGGTGAAACCCCATCTCTTCTAAAAACACAAACGTTAGCCGGGCATGGTGGCGCGTGCCTGTAGTCCCAGCTACTCAGGAGGCTGAGGCAGGAGAATCGCTTGAACCTGGGAGGTGGAAGGTTGCAGTGAGATGACATTGTGCCATTGCACTCCAGGCTGGGTGACAGAGCAAGACTCTGTCCCTCCCCCCCAAAAGAAAGAAGGCTCTGGCTATTTGGGTTTCATCATTTGATGTTTCCTCATTGTGCCATTTGTGTGTCTTTTTTTTCTTTTGTTTTTGAGACAGAGTCTTGCTCTGTCGCCAGGCTGGAGTGTGGTGGCATGAGCTTGGCTCACTGCAACCTCCGTCTCCCAGGTTCAAGCCATTCCCCTGCCTCAACCTCCCAAGTAGCTGGGACTACAGGCGCCCACCACCATGCCCTAAATTTTTTGTATTTTTAGTAGAGACGGGGTTTAATCACGTTGACCAGGATGGTCTCGATCTCCTGACCCCATGATCTGCCCACCTCGGCATGAGCCATCATGCCCGGGTGTTTTTCTTTTCTCAAGACGGAGTCTTGCTCTGTTGCCCAGGCAGGAGTACAGTGACGTGATCTTGGCTCACTGCAACCTCCGCCTCCCAGGTTCAAGCGATTCTCTTGCCACAGCCTCCCGAGTAGCTGGGACTACAGGAGCTTGCTGCCATGCCCGGCTACTTTTAAAAATGGTTTTTTTATTTTTAGTAAAGACGGGCTTTCCCCATGTTGGCCAGGCTGGTCTCGAGCCCTGTGACCTCAGGTGATCCACCCGCCTCAGCCTCCCAAAGTGCTGGGATGACAGGCGTGCACGCCGTTTGCGAAATGCCTTCTCATCTGTCGGATTTCCTGCAGTTTTGTGTCCTGAGCCCTCGGCCGCCTGCATGCGTCCAACCACCTGCCGCAGTCAGTAGCCGCCTGCCTCTCTGTGCTCCCGACGTTCTGAAACCCGAGTTTATCAACTTGGAACCATTCTCCCCGTACTGAGTAAGTTTTTGTAATCGTGGGCAGAAGGACATCCTGCCACGTTCGGCTCTCACGTCCCCGGCATTTACTCGTGCGTAGGCCTTTCATCCATCTGGCATTTAGGCTGAGTGTGGAGCGAGCCAGGGGCCTCACGCTTCTTTCCCATGAGATCGCCTGGCCCCAGCATCAGGGATGGATGATCCTGGTGCCACCTGGCAAGGCGGCGAGACTCCTGTTCCAGCCCCTGGCACAGCCTGTTCTGAGCTGCGACACGCCGCAGTCTCCTTTCTCATCTCCTTTCTCTTGAATCTCCCGCAGGCGCTCAGCTTCTGGCTTCCCTCCTGGGAGGAGGTCGGAGCCTCCGAGTGGGATTCTGAGGCTTGGCTTCTGCTTTCCAGCGCCCCAAACCTCAGCAGTGTAGGAACCTTTCCCAAAGGAAAACAATTATTGGCGATGCCCAGAGCTGTATCGCTTCAGTTTTATTACAGAGCACTTTTCTTTTTGAGACAGTCTTGCTCTGTTGCCCAGGCTGGAGCACAGTGTGTGATCTCGGCTCACTGCCACCTCCACCTCCTGGGTTCAGCCTCCTGAGTAGCTGGGACTACAGGCACCCACCACCACATTTGGCTAATTTTAATTTTTTTTTTTTTTTGAGACAGAGTTTCGCTCTTGTTACCCAGGCTGGAGTGCAATGGCGCGATCTCGGCTCACCGCAACCTCCGCCTCCTGGGTTCAGGCAATTCTCCTGCCTCAGCCTCCCGAGTAGCTGGGATTACAGGCACGCGCCACCATGCCCAGCTAATTTTTTGTATATTTAGTAGAGACGGGGTTTCACCATGTTGACCAGGATGGTCTCGATCTCTTGACCTCGTGATCCACCCGCCTCGGCCTCCCAAAGTGCTGGGATTATAGGCGTGTGCCAGCACGCCTGGCCTAATTTTTAATTTTTAATAGAGATGGGGTTTCACCATGTTGGCCAGGCTGGTCTCAAATTCCAGACCTCAGGCGATCCGCCCACCTAGGCCTCTTAAAGGGCTGGGATTGCAGGCATGAGCCACTGCATCTGGCCTCAGAACACTTCTAAGGGCTAAACAAATACCAGATATAAATGTGTAAAAAGGTCATGCTGTGAAGTCAAATTGCTTACAGGGAAACCTGGAAAATGGGAAAGCTCAGGTGTGCAGCATCATCTCGAAGGACAGAGGTGTCCACATCCAGGCACTATCTGAGGCAGGCCGTGCCCTCCCAGGCTCCGTGGGAACTCCCCGGAGACCCTCAGCTCTGAGCCTTTCTGGGAACCTGCGCCAGCATCTCAGGTCCCATCCTCGTGTTAGGAGCCAGCGACACACGTGTGGCTTCCTAGGGCGCATGTGGTATTCATCATAGGGTGCAGAACAGCGTGGGCTGGGGTGGGGGACGTTCTGCTTTTCCTCTCCAGCATCCCCTCCCTGCTGCCGAGAGGGTTCAACTCCTCTTCCAGGACTCCCACCCTAGTGCATTCTCAGCGAGACTGCTGATCACACCCCACGTGCGGGCAGGGCACAGCGACCAAGGGCCACGGGGCACTCACTGCTCCAGACTCCCACCCTAGTGCATTCTCAGCGAGACTGCTGATCACACCCCACGTGCGGGCAGGGCACAGCGACCAAGGGCCACGGGGCACTCATTGCTCCAGACTCCCACCCTAGTGCATTCTCAGCGAGACTGCTGATCACACCCCACGTGCGGGCAGGGCACAGCGACCAAGGGCCATGGGGCACTCACTGCTCCAGACTCCCACCCCGGGCTACTGCCAAGTCCTGGCTGTTCTGACACCTGGGTCTTTGGTGTTTCCCTGGTCCCAGGGCAGGGCGGGCAGATGCCAGGCTCCCTGCCTCTCAGTGACCAGTCCCTCAGCACCTGGACAGACTCACATGTGCTGTCTCCAGGCCCAGGCTGAGCTTGCACCTGCCCCGGAGGCGCGTTGGGCAGAGCAGGGCCTGTGCTGTCAACTGCATGCCCCAGGTGGGAACCAACAGGGGCAGGAGAGGCGTGTGGCGCAGCCAGTGCTGAGGACACCCCTGGGACCCACCCTGACACATGGGACCAAAGGCACAGGTAGGTTCGGGTTGTCTCTGAGTGAGCGGCTCCCAAGTGTGTTTGAGGGGCGTGTCCACCCCTCCCTGGGCCCTGCCCGGGGCTGCTGCACCTTGTCTTCCCACGTCATGGGCACTAGATTGGGCCAGGGCCTGCCTCCTTGCTGCGTCCCTCTCCACAGAGGCCAGCCTCTGCCACGTCTGACGTCTCTGGCCAGGCCACGCCAGCCTGGAGGGCAGACATCGCAGCCAGCAGCTCTTGTCCTCTTGACAGGGCTTCCGACGCCCCGGTGAAGGCACCTTGTGCCCCAGCCCACAGCCCTGGCCCCAGCCCCCATGTCTTGGTGGCTGTCACTTACTGCCCTCTGCTTCCAGCTTCTGGGTCTACATGATCCATGGTGCTGGGGTCTCAGTCTCCAGACTCCACCCAGCCCAGCCTTGGTGAAAGGGGAAACTAGCTGAGCCCTGCTGGGAAAGGGCCCTGTCTGGACCACCTCGAGGGCTGCCCAACACACCCCATTCCCAAGAAAGAGGCCACGTCTCCTGGTCCCAGGCACCCACCTCTGAGGTCCACCCTGAGCTAACAGAGGGCACCCAGGGCAGCCCTGCATGGGGAAGGGGATTCAGTCAGCTCTCAGGATCCATGGATTCAACTAACCAAGGATGTTAAATATTCGAAAAAGTAAACACGAGTGGTTGTGTCTTTTTTTCCCCTCGTTATTCTTTCTTTTTTTTTTTTTTTTGAGACGGAGTTTCGCTCTTGTTACACAGGCTGGAGTGCAATGGCGCCATCTCGGCTCACTGCAACCTCCACCTCCTGGGTTCAGGCAATTCTCCTGCCTCAGCCTCCCGAGTAGCTGGGATTACAGGCACGCACCACCACACCCAGCTAATTTTTTAAATATTTTTAGTAGAGACGGTGTTTCACCATGTTGACCAGGATGGTCTCGATCTCTTGACCTCGTGATCCACCCTCCTCGGCCTCCCAAAGTGCTGGGATTACAGGCGTGAGCCACCGCACCCGGCCCCCTCTGTTATTCTCTAAACAACACAGTACAGCAACTTCGCACAGCAGTTACATTGTATTAGGTATTACAAGTAATCTAGAAGTTAGCTGAAATACACAGGAGGACATGTATGGGTTACATGCAAACACTACTCCTTTTCTTTTCTTTTCTTTTTGAGACAGAGTTCCACTCTTGTTGCCCAGGCTGGAGGGCAATGGCGCGATCTCAGCTCACTGCAACCTCTGCCTCCCGGGTTCAGCCTCCTGAGGGGGTTTCTCCATGTTGGTCAGACTCATCCTGGACTCCTGACCTCAGGTGATCCACCTGCCTCGGCCTCCCAATGTGCTGGGATTACAGGTGTGAGCCACTGCACCATTATTTTTTTTTTCTTGAGATGGAGTCTTGCTCCGTGGCCCAGGCTGGAGCGCAGTGGCACAGTGTCAGTTCACTATGACCTCTGCTTCCCAGTTTCAAGCAATTCACCTGCCTCAGCCTCCTGAGTAGCTAGATTACAGCTGGGCACCACCACGCCCAGTTAATTTTTGTATTTTTAGTAGAGAGGGGATTTCACCACGTTGGCCAGGCTGGTCTCAAACTCCTGACCTCAGGTGATCCACCCACCTCGGCCTCCCAAAGCGCTGGGATTTCAGGTGTGAGCCGCCATGCCCAGCCAAACACTACAGTGTTTTACATCAGGAAACTGAGCATCTGCAGGGGTCCTGGGGTCAACCTCACGTGGATACTGCAGGAGGCCTGCATGTCTGCATCTGTGGAGTCTCTGAGACGGTGCTTCTGGTGCCTGCGGGCTTTGAGGGATGGTTAGGAGTTTGATAAGCAGAGGGAAGAGTGGCAAGTGCAAAGGTAGCATGGGAAAGGCTCAGCATGCCCTGAATTCACTGAGCAAGGCAGCAGGGGTAACAGGAGGGCACGGGCACGGGCCAGCCCCAGAGGACAGACATCTCCAGGAACGGACCCCTCCCACCCGTCCTTGGATTCCAGCATGTGCAAGTTCTGGAGGCAGGAAACAGAACAAAGCCTTTTCACTGCCGCATGACATGTCCTGTGACCCTCCCACACCTGAGTCTCTCCATCTCCAAGCGAAGGCAAGACCCAGGTTCCAGGGATTTGCCACCGGCTCTGGCAGAGCTCCTGGTGCTCAGCCCCCAAACCTGCCTCGCCTGGGGCACTCATTGTGAGATGCTCAGAGCTCCACATTCACGGGCAGGCGGTGAGCCCCACACCAGGACTTCAGACATGAAGCTGGGCAATGGCTGAGGGAGGAGGCTCAGTAGGGCAGGATGGTGAGGGGGGCAGTCCAACAGGTACAACCCTGGACACCCCACAATAGGGCCACGGACCCACATCAGTGATGCCATTACCCCAGGCCTGGGCCCCTTCCCAGGAGACATCACTGGGACGGGCTGCTGACTGCAGACCTGCTGGCCCCATGAGACCCTCAGGGGCTCCGCTCCCCCATGGCTACCCCAACTGTGCCCAGGTGTCCTATCACCCAGCCCAACGTCAGCCCTGAGCAGGGCCCGAGGAGCACCCTTTCCCACGGGCCAGGGGTGGAGAGGTGGGGAGCAGAAGCTGGCCTGGTGGAGAGGAGGATATCGCAGCACACGTGGGTGGGCACACAGGGTTGGGGGCTGCTGCAAGAGTAGCAGGGGGGTGCCCAGAGGAGTGAGGGTACAAGGGTGGCCTTGCCCACAGGAGACCTGGGAAGCCAGGGAAAGCGGATGCAGCTCCTGCCTCCTGGCGGGCTGCTGCCTCGGGCTACTGCTATGGCGGCTGGTCATGCCCTGGCCAGCCACCTTGGACTCAGAATGCCATGAGGGACCTGCACTTTCCCGGGAACCAGTGACGCTCACTCACAGACCTGACAGCTGCACTCCTGTGAGGCTTCAAGTGCACACTGGGGGGCACACCGCCTGTGGACACTGGGGCACACGCAGGCGCTGGACTTGCCACCAGGGTCCCGCCCGGCCCAGCCCGGCTTCCAACTTCCTCCTCCATACTGCTGTTCTAACTCAGGGGAGGGAGCTCCTGGAGACTCAGCCCTGCACCTGTAGCTGGCTCAGCTCAGCTGTTAGGGACACCCTGGGGCCAGCACAGGTGAGTGCAGGGCCCAGCCCCGCAGGGTCTAGTGCAGAGACAACAAATCACAGGAAACAAAGACACGAGACACATTGGTAAGAGTTCAGCTGGGCCCGGGGACCACGACTACCAAGGCGGAGTCCAGCAGTGGCCCTGAATGCCTGGACGTGCTGACATTTAATGTATACAGGGAAGAGGGGCAGGGTCAGGAGAGTGAATTATCTGACGTGCTTACAGAACAGGGGCCTCCCTCTCAGGGAGCCGCTGTAAGGAGGGGGCATGTACATCAGCATCTGTCCATGCACTCATCAGAAGGATCGAAGGCTTGTAGGATTCCTCTATTCTTACTTCCCACGACTTCTGAGGACTTACAAAGAGCACCGGGCGAGAAAGCGGAACATGAAAGTGGACGAGGACGGTGACCATCGGAGCACAGCACCGCAGAGAGGCATTTACACCCCTGGAGGTCTGAGGGCCGGTCCGGCTGATGCCAGGCCTTCCTCAAGAGCCGGGCGGAGCAGTGTTCTCTGGACTCCCCAGTGAAAGGGAAACTCCCCTTCACGCCTGCTAAGTAACGGGCACCTCCCCAGGCGCTGGTGCTACCGCGAGGCTCTCGCTGATCACTTCTCACAACGTCCCTTCGGTCCCTGATTATATTTCACCCGATCGTTTCTATGATACTAAATGGTTCTACACTGCAACAGCAAAGCAAACATTAGTAAAGAATCACGATTTAGCCGGACGCGGTGGCTCAAGCCTGTAATCCCAGCACTTTGGGAGGCCGAGGCGGGTGGATCACGAGGTCAAGAGATTGAGACCATCCTGGTCAACATGATGAAACCCCGTCTCTACTAAAAATACAAAAAATTAGCTGGGCATGGTGGTGCGTGCCTGTAATCCCAGCTACTCAGGAGGCTGAGGCAGGAGAATTGCCTGAACCCAGGAGGCGGAGGTTGTGGTGAGCCGAGATCGCGCCATTGCACTCCAGCCTGGGTGACAACAGCGAAACTCCGTCTCAAAAAAAAAAAAAAAAAAAGAATCATGATTTAATTGTGTATGTATATACTGATCATATAACTGATTATGTGATTGCTTCTAACTACCTCTGGTATCATTGCTAAAGCTAGTGATCCGTTTCTTTATTATACTGTATATTTGCATATATTTAGTATATGCCTTCAGTCTCCGGCCTTGGCCCCTGAGTCACTTTCTTCCCACGGCGGGGGCTGGGCAGGCAGACAGACCTGCTCCAACCTGCCCCTCCCGCTCCCGGGTTTGAGGCCCACAGTGTGCGCCTGTGGAGGGTGTGATCCTCTGCAGATCCAGAAAGTTCTCCAGGTAGCTAGGCCCAGCCTGTGCTGTGCCCACAGGCCTGCGAGGCTTCAGACACCCGCACTTGCCTGAAACTGGACACTCAACTCAGCTCAGTCTCCACTCCGCAGCCCAACTCCCAGCCTTGCCTGTGCCAGGAGCCCCCAGGTCCCGCTTCCTTTATGGCAGGAGGGCTCTGTGTCAGGTGAGGCAGGGTGCACTGCCTGTTTGGCAGGGGTCAGGGATCCTCCTCCAGGCTGAGCTGGGGGAACCAGAGACCAACGGCTTTGAGGGGGTAGAACCCACAGAAGCCCTTCCCTTGGCTGTTCCCAACCATGACCGTTTCCCTGGGTGGAGCAGAGGCTGCTGGGACCTCCATACTGGCAGCAGGGGGCCAGGGGCTTCTCCATGTTGGCCAGGCTAGTCTCGAACTCCCGACCTCAGGTGATCCACCCATCTCCACCTCCCAAAGTGCTGGGATTACAGGCGACCCACTCGCCTGGCGGCTCTGTCCCAAGTGCCCCTTTCGCCTCCCTTGTGCTCTCCTGCCCAGGACCTGAAGGCTGCCTGCCTGTCTGCTGACCACCCCACGTGGTCACCCCCTCCCACTACAGTCTAAGAAAAAACCGCTTCAGGCTGGGCGGGCACGGTGGCCCATGCCTGTAGTTCTCGAACTTTGGGAGGCCAAGGCAGGTATATACTTGAACTTAGGAGTTCGAGACCAGCCTGGGCAACAGAGTGAGACCCTCGTCTCTACTCAAAACACAAAAATATTAGCTGGGCGTGGTGACCTCCACCCGTGGTCCAGGTTGCTCAAGAGGCTGAGGTGGGAAGATCACTTGAACCCGGGAGGCAGAGGCTGCAGTGAGCTGAGATCGCGCCACTGCACTCGAGACCCTGCCTCAAAATAAATAAATAAATAAATAAATAAAGGAAGGCCGGGCGCGGTGGCTCACGCCTGTAACTTCAGCACTTTAGGAGGCCGAGGCGGGCAGATCACCTGAGGTCGGGAGTTCGAGACCAGCCTGGCCAACATGGAGAAACCCCCATCTCTACTAAACTTACAGAATTAGCCGGGTGTGGTGGCGCATACCTGTAGTCCCAGCCACTCCGGAGGCTGAGGCAGGAGAATCGCTTGAACCTGGGAGGAGGAGGTTCGCCTCCGCCGACACCTTCGCGCCCCGACGCCGCCGCCTGGCTCCGCAGACGCCCGCGACCCCACCCCAGGCCAGGAGCCCTCCCCCGCTCAGGCGCCAGGCAAGGTGGGCGGCAGATGCCCCCCGCTGCGCACCCGGCCCGGGAGGACCCTCGCGACCCCACCCATCGGCCCCGCCAGGCTCGGATGCAGAAACCGCCGGAGCCAAAGTGGGCGCGACCCGGAACTGCGCAGGAGCGACGAGGGGCGCGCAGCCGACCCGACCGGGGCCGAACGCGCAGGCGCCCAGCGCCGCCCGAGCCCCGCCCCGCCCCGCCCCCGGCCACCGCGGCACGTGACCCGCGTCCTCCCGGGCGCGCGCATGCGCAGACCCAGCGCCGAGCCCGCGCCATGGCGGCCGAGCGCCTCCCTAGCCGGCCCGCCTGCCTGCTCGTGGCCAGCGGCGCCGCCGAAGGTGAGGCCCGGCGGCCGAGGCCGGTGTCCGAAGAGGCCGCTGCCCGGGGCGGGATCCTCCGGGGCTGGAGGTCCGGGACGCGGTGGGCGCGCGTCCTGTGGCGCCGCTGAGGGCGCCGGGCGGGGGCCGGGATGGGGCTCGGGGCGGGACGCGGGTTGGGGCGCGGTAGGGGGGTATGGGAACCGGGGTGGACCCGGGGGTGGGGTCGGGGTTGGGATGGGCCTCCGGGCGGAGGGTAGCTTTGGAGCCGGGTCCCTGGCGCCGCGTCGCTCCTCGGAGTCTTGTCTACGCGGCGAGGCGGCCCGGGCCCGACGTTTCTAGCAGGGGGATCCGCGTGTTCCGGAGGCCGCTGCGCTCCTAGAGGGGAGCCCCGGTGTGGGGAGGAGCGTTCGGGAGTGGACCCGGTTCTGACGTCGGGCGGCCGCGGGGACCTCGCGGGGTTTCTGAGCCACCTGGGCCTGAGGAGACCCGGAGCCCCCTAGTGGAGAAGGAGCCCTCGGCCCTCGCCCTGGGGGTATCAGGGCGAGGCTGGCCTGGGGCTCCGGCGGGACGGAGTGCGGCGGGGGCGTCGGCTGAGCCTGCAGGGTTTGGGGACAGCAGGGGAGGGAAGAGCAGCGGAGCCCGAGGGTCCCTGGCCCTGTTCTGAGCCCTTCGCAAAGGGAAGTGACCAGCCTCTGGGCACCACGGAGAGGTGGGGCCGGGTTGGGACCCAGGGACCTCCCTCTTGAAGTCTGTAGTTCCTCAAGTGTGGGCAGGGGAGACGGGGCTGTGGGGTTGTGGCGTCACGGTGTGCTGAGCTCCGGGGGTCCTGAGTGATGTCCCCAGCTGCAGGTGGGAGGAGCCGTAGGTGGGGTTCACTTCTGGGGGTGTGGTTTAGGGCTTATTTCCAGAGCAGGTAGTGGGGGGGGGAGGCGGTCAGGCCAGATTGGCTGTGCCCCAGGGAAGGCACGTTGAGGACCTGGGGTCTTAGGGCCAGCAGGCGCGGGGACAGTTTCAGGAGGAAGTGACAGGCCGGCAGGAGGTGGGGAGCTGAGCACGCGGCAGTCTACTGGGCTTTTTTTTTTTTCTTTCTTCATATGTGGACACTTTACGGTGAATATGTTTTAATTTATATAAGAATGAAGATTAAAATAAAGTTGAAAGGCCGGGCGCGGTGGCTCAAGCCTGTAATCCCAGCACTTTGGGAGGCCGAGACGGGTGGATCACGAGGTCAAGAGATCGAGACCATCCTGGTCAACATGGTGAAACCCCGTCTCTACTAAAAATACAAAAAATTAGCTGGGCATGGTGGTGCGTGCCTGTAATCCCAGCTACTCGGGTGGCTGAGGCAGGAGAATTGCCTGAACCCAGAAGACGGAGGTTGCGGTGAGCCGAGATCGCGCCATTGCACTCCAGCCTGGGTAACAAGAGTGAAACTCTGTCTCAAAAAAATAAATAAATAAATAAATAAAGTTGAAAGATTGAGGCCCAGAATTAAACGTAGAAAGATGCAGCTCATGCTGCTTTGGAATAAACGTGTCTGTGCTTTCCGGCTGCCGGGGTGGGCGGGGCTGTGTCCTTCCCCCGGTCGGACAGCAGCCCCCAGAGCCTTCTGGATTGGGTGTGGTGTGTTGTTTTCTTACTTTATTTTAACCTTTTTTTTAAGAGGTGGGGTTTTACCGTGTTGGCCAGAATAGTCTCGATCTCCTGACTGTGTGATCCGCCGGACTCCGCCTCACAAAGTGCTGGGATTAGAGGTGTGAGCCACCACGCCCAGCTGGATTTCTTTCTTTTTTTTTTTTTTAATTTTTAAATTAAAATTTTTTTTTTTTTTTTTTTTTTTAAGAGACAGCGTTTCATCATGTTGGTCAAGCTGCTCTCGAACTCCTGACCTCAGGCAATCAGCCTGCCTCAGCCTCCCAAAGTGCTGGGATTACAGGCGTGAGCCACCGTGCCCGGCCTTGGATTTCTTTTTTAAAAGTTCTTTGAGGGGCAGGAAGAGGCTGGGAAAAGCTGGGCGGGGGGGGGCAGAATCCCAGAACTCTTGTGAGCAATGGGACCCTGAGTTTTTTCCCTGGAGGGGGTGAGGAGGGGTCAGAACACTTCTGCATACTCCATGGTGCCAGCGGGCCTCAGTCCTTGGTGGGGGGTCAGTGAGGGGATGAGCTGAACTCTGTGACCCTCGTCCCCTGGTTTGTCTCCCAGAAAGGCCTCTTGTGGCTCTGTTAGTGGGAGGAGGCCAGGCTTTGGGAGTGGCATGGACAGTTGAGGTGGGTTGCATCCTGTCCCTGCTTGTGGCTGGGGGCTGGAGGTGACAGTGCCAGGCTGGGGAAGAGCTTGCCATGGGCGATGCAGGCCTCTGGGTCTGGCAGACCTGGGTGTGCCTCTCTGACTCACACCTTCCCAGCTTCCTCCTCCTGGACATGCGTGGGTGGCTGGCCCTGCCTCAGGGCTTCCAGTAGTGGGCCCTGGGTATAGGGGAGTGGGCTGCTGGGGTCAGGGGAGGCCATGGGGGTGGAGCGGGATGGAGCTTGGGGTGGCATTTGGGGCAGTGCCCGTGCCCTGTTGTGGGGCCACTCTGGATACCCTGCTGTCTGGATGGCCTCCCGAGGTGAGGTCTGGGGTCAGGCGAGGCCATGGGGGTGTCTGGGTAGCCCCCTCAGGTGAGGTCTGGGGTCAGGCAAGGCCGTGGGGGTGTCTGGGTAGCCTCTGAGGTGGGCCGGCTGGTCCTGTTGAGCCCTTACCCACTGGGACCCTCTGCAGGTGTGTCAGCGCAGTCCTTCCTCCACTGCTTCACTATGGCCAGCACCGCCTTCAACCTGCAGGTGGCCACCCCTGGGGTAAGTCCAGCCACTCCTTCCCCACTGGACACTTGGGGTCTGTCCCCACCTCTCCAGGGGCAAGGTCAGGAGAGTGCCGTCGCTGCCTGGGAGGCGTGGGGAGCCCCTGCAGTGGGCAGAGGTGTGAAAGGTCTGTAAGCAAACCCCCTTGGCGTCCTGAGTTCGGGTCCCCACTTCCTGGGCTCTGACCCACCTCTGACGGGGCAGACCTTTCCGTTGCGGGTCTGTGCTTCTGTGCGTGTGTGAGCAGGAGACCAAGGTGCAGCCCTGGTGCGGGGGACCCGCACAGATGTTTCCATGGGAGGAGTTCTCCACCCTCTGATCGTGGGCCCGGGGACAGCAAGGATGCCTTACATATTCGCCACTGCAGGCTTTTATTTGTAAAGAGTGTGGGTGTGTTTGCTAGGAAGCAGACCACCGAGGCTGCTCCTGGGACAGGCTCCCCAGCCCGGGGACCAGTGGAGGAGGCCGCATGGTCGGTGCCTGTCAGCATTTTCAGGCTCCCTCTGAGCCAACAGAACCGGGTGCTGACCCTCAGCCCTGGGCTCTGCCTCTCCAGGGGAAAGCCATGGACTTTGTGGATGTGACCGAGAGCAACGCACGCTCGGTGCAGGACTTCCGCCTCAAGGCCTACGCCAGCCCCGCCAAGCTTGAGTCCATCGACGGTAGGCCCAGGACCCACTCCCTGGGGTGGGGTGCCTGGGACCTTGGAGGGTCTTAGTGAGCTCCCCAGCTTGCCCCCTGAAGCACTGTGACCATCTAGGGCAGCCTCCAGACCCACGTCCTGGGCCCCAGAGTTCCTGAGCTCCTCTGGGGAGGAGAGCTGGTAGCTGTGTGGAGACGGGAAAGTCGGGGTGGCCCTTGGGAGCTGTAGCCCATGGAGGAAAAGGGACAGATGATGTCATCAGGCCTGCTGGTCCCTGTGGAGCCCTGGTCCTGCAGGGGGCCTCACTTTAATTGACGTGTGGCCACCTTGTCTGTGGTCTCCCCCAGGTGCCCGCTACCATGCCCTCCTGATCCCCAGCTGTCCTGGGGCCCTGAGCGACCTGGCCAGCAGTGGCTCCCTGGCCCGTATCTTGCAGCACTTCCGGTCAGAGAGAAGTAGGTGGCCCGGGGCCCGGGGTAGAGGTTGGATGTACAACTCACAAGAAATGGGTCTCCCAGCAGCAGGGAGGTGGGAAGGCGCCCAGGTAGGGTTTTCTGGGCCTCTGGTCAGTGGCCATTGCAGTGGCTGTGGGTGGGAGGCAGTGACACACACACGTACTTGTCCTCTTCTGGTGACTGTTTTGCAGGCCTCTGGGTGGGCTCCTGCGGGTGGGTGGCCATGCCCATCCTGGGCCCCTCATGAGCAAGGCAGGACACCAGCCTGGTTCCTTCCGGAAAAGCCTGGCATCCAGGGCTGGGCCTGGGGCTTGAGGCTGGCAGGGGTGTGGGAAGGAAGTCCATGGCAACCTGGCAGCCGCCCCGGCTCCGTGTTGGCTGTGATGAGTGTGTCCACTGGCCGGGTGGACAGGCCAGCACTCTATACAGCTCCCTTTGCGGGTGGAGCCAGGCCGGTGCTCTATACAGCTCCCTTTGCGGGTGGAGCCAGGCCACTGTGCCGGGCAGCTGGGCTCTGTGCCCTGGGGTTGCTGGGTGAACAGACCTGGGAGGAGGGGGCCGGGCAGGCAGCACAGGCCTGGGGGAGCCACAAGTAGTGGCATCAGGAGGCAGGTGGCCGGGGCCCCAGAGCGCCATGTGCTGCTTCCAGAGCCCATCTGTGCTGTCGGCCACGGTGTCGCTGCTCTGTGCTGTGCCACCAACGAGGACAGATCCTGGGTGTTCCATGGCTACAGCTTGACAGGGGTGAGTGCCTGGAGGACAGAGGCCCCCTGTGCTCCCCGCTCTGTCCTCCCCCGTGACAGCCAGGGACAAGGACGGACACTCCAGAACCCCTCGCCCCTAGTCTTGGCCTGGGGCCTCCTGGAAGCCCAGGCCCTCTCACCAGGGGATGTGGGGAGGGAGGGGCAGCAGACCTGCGTGTGTCCAGAGGGGCTGAGAGCCTAGTGGGGCTGTCCTTGGAGACAGCCTGTGTCCATCTGAGGCCCAGAAGCTATGAAGTGGGCTCTGTGGGCGCTGGGCCGTGGGAGCAGCTGATGCAGAGGCCCTGGAGCAGGGAGAGGTGGGCTGCTATGCAGATGTGGGTTTCACTGGAAGTGAAACGGGCCTGGCCCTTAGCTCGGATGTCAGTTTTCCTCTCAGGGGGCCCCTCCTCAGTGGGTGCTCAGTGCTGTCCTGTGAGGGGCAACACCAACCCAGTCTCAGGTTACAGGTGGGTGTGACCCCTCACATGAGCGGTTAGAGTCACGACTGCCCTGGCCAGCCGTCTGCCCACCACGGGCTCACCCTCAAACCCTTGTCATTCTGTTCACCTGTGTGCTCCAATGCTGGGGAGCTGGGCTGTCCTGTAGTGGCCTTGTCGCTCCCAGGGCACCCCATGGGAAGATGGCTGGCCTTGGTCGTCTCCCTGGCCTCCAGCCTCAGCAGCCCTCCCTGTCACGAGCAGTGACACCCCCAGTCCCACTTGGTTGGGTGAGGCTCCCTGCCCTGATTTGACCTTCCTGTCCCCTGGAGTGGGCTGCAGGGCCTGGGCCTGGCTCAGGAGCCCCACACCCTCCCCGCAGCCCTCCGTGTGTGAGCTCGTCAGGGCCCCCGGCTTCGCCCGCCTACCACTGGTGGTGGAGGACTTTGTGAAGGATTCTGGTGCCAGCTTCAGTGGTGAGCCCTGAGAGCACCCTCTGTGCTTACAGAAGTGGGGGTGGGGGGGCTTGCCTGCTTTAGCTTGGGGGTGGAGCCTGCTGGGCCCTGGGTTCTGTAGACCCCTGTGACGCTGACTTCGACCCAGACAGGCTGACCTGCTGACCCTGGGGGCTTCTCGGCGGGTGGGGTGGACATTGCCTGAGGCTGGTGCCCTTGGTCCTCCCCAGCAAGCGAGCCTGACGCCGTGCACGTCGTGCTGGACCGCCACCTGGTCACAGGCCAGAATGCCAATTCCACTGTCCCAGCCGTGCAGAACCTGCTCTTCCTCTGTGGCAGCCGGTGAGGGCACCAGGGTGGCACATTCCTGCCACATCCGCAGAGCTGCTCCAGGTGCGGGTGCCAAGCCTTTACCACACGTCCTGCAGGAAATGAACCTCCTGGGTAGATGCACCCCCTGAGATAGCCCATGTGTCTCCAGAGGCAGGCAGCCCTGTCTCGGGCCTCCAGGGACCCTGCCTCATCTCTCCTGACAAGGAACCTGGGTGGTGGCCTTGGATGGCCTTAATGTGACTGTTGGAGGCCTCCTGGAATCAGCTCTGAGGGGGTGTCAGTCTCCTGGAGGCTCCAACCCCCAGTCCCCTGCATGTTCTCTAGTAGGAGGCAGAGAAAAGACCCCAGATGCCCAGAAAGCTGTGGTAGCTGCCAGGTGGTCCTTGGGAATTCCAAGCCGGGTGTTCCAGGGAGGACTGGTTGCCAAGTGCGGTCACTGCTGACAGTCTGCTCAGGGGTCCTCTGTGGGGGCTGGCCCCGTTGCGGCCAGCCTGCCACCTACCACCCCTTCAGCCGAGGGTGGGGGCCTTGAGGGGAGGGAGCCGGTGAGAGCTGACTCAGAACTTAATCTGGCCACAGGTGAGTGAGGTTTTTTGGGAGCAGCAGCCTCCTGCCCCGAGACTGACCAGCAATGGCAGCACTTTCCTGTTGGGGAAATCTTCCTGGCGTCTTTTAAGATGTGAGCACCACAGTGATGGCCCGTCCTGTCTGAGCATCGAGAGACTTGCTTAGCTGTGACTGACACTGTGCTGCGGTTCTCACTGAGAGGAGAGTGCTGTCCCCGTGGCCCTGCACAGAGTGGCCTTGGGCACAGCTGCTATCAAGAGCAGACAGTGGTCCGGCGTGCTGGGCACGTGGCCTGGGCCGTGTGTCTGCAGCAGGCTGCCCGCTGGGCCCAGCACAGGGCCTCCAGGAGCGGCTTAGACCCTCCTCACAGTTCTGCAGTGTGAGCCATCAAAGGTCTTCCTCTAGCCCACCTCCCCGTGTCGGCCACCGTCATCCCCAAGCACCAGGGTGGCTCCTGGTGCCAGCGACCTGCCAGGAGGCCCCTTGTGATTATAAAACCGTTCAGTAGGGCGGGTGTGGTGGTGCGCGCCTGTAATCCCAGCTACTTGGGAGGCTGAGACACGAGAATTGCTTGAACCGGGAGGCGGAGGTTGCAGTGAGCCAAGATCGTGCCTTTGTACTCCAGCCTGGGCAACAAGAGCGAAACTTATCTCGAAAATAAATAATAATAAAAGAAAACCGTTCAATAAGGAGAATTCGGGCCGGGCGTGGGGGCTCACGCCTGCAATGCAAGCACTTTGGAGGCCAAGGTGGGTGGATCACCTGAGGTCGGGAGTTCAAGACCAGCCTGACCAACATGGTGAAACCCTGTCTTTAAGATAAAAATAAACTTTTTTTGTAAAAAGTGGAAGGAGGAGGCGCCACAGCCATGTCCCCACCCCAAAGGCTGCGTCCCTCCAGCACCTTTAGGATTACTCAGGACGCCCACGTGGCACTGGCCGCAGGGCTCTGTCCCGGGTCCGCCCTAACCCCGTGTGGCGATGGACATCTTCGGACAAGTACTTTTTTATTTTTAAATTTTTTTCTTGAGACAGAGTTTCCCTCTTGTCCACCAGGCTGGAGTGTGGTGGCGCAATCTCGGCTCACCGCCACCTCCGCCTCAGGTTCAAGCAATTCTGCCTGAGCCTCTGGAGTAGCTAGGATTACAGGCCTGTGCCACCATGCCTGGCTAATTTTCGTATTATTCTTTTTTGAGACAGTCCTCTGTTGCCCAGGTGGGAGTGCCTCAGCCTTAGCCTCCCGAGTAGCTGGGATTACAGGCTCAGCTAATTTTTCTCTAATTTTTAGTAGAGATCGGGTTTCACCCTGTTGGCCAGGCTGGTCTTGAACTCTTAACCTCAAGTGATGTTCCTGCCTTGGCCTCCCAAAGTGCTTGGACTACAGGGGCCTGCCGCTGTGCCCGGCCTAATTTTTGTATTTTTAGTAGAGTTGGGGTTTCACCTTGTTGACCAGGCTGTGGAACTCCTGACCTCAGGTGGTCACGTGCCTTGGCCTTCCAAAGTGCTGGGATTATAGGCATGAGCCACTGTGCCTGGCCAACAATTACTTTTTAAAGAAAATTTAAAGGTCGGGTGTGGTCTAATTCCCAGCACTTTGGAAGGCCAAGCTGCACGGATCGTCAGGAGATTGAGACCATCCTGGCCAGTATGATGAAAGCCCGTCTCTACTGAAATACAGAAAGTCGGCCGGGCGTGGTGGCACCTGTAATCCCACCTACTCGGGAGGCTGAGGCAGAATTGCTTGAACCCGGGAGGCGGAGGTTGCAGTGAGCTGAGATCGCACCGTTGTGCTCCAGCCTGGCAACAGGGCAAGACTGCGTCTCAGAGAAAGAAAAGAGAATTTAAGATCCTGCATAATGTCTCAGTCCGTTTGGGCTCCTGTAAGAAAAGACTGTAAACCTGCTGGCTTGTAAACAACAGAAATAGGTTTCAGTTTTGGAAGTTGGAAGCCCAAGGTGAAAGCGCCAGCAGAGTCAGCCTCTTGTGAGGGCGAAGGTCCCATCACGAGGCTCTGCCCTGTGACCCGACGGCCTCGCACACGCCCCACCTGCTACCATCCCTGGCAGGTGAGGACTGAAGCGGGTGGTTTTGTGGGGGACGTGTTCAGGCCACAGCAGGTAGATGAAGAGCGGTGAGCCATGCCAGATCTGACAGCCCCGCATTGAAGGTCAAGGCAGTTGTGGCTCTGGGGATGTGAAGTGGTCACGAGGGGCCCCACAGACCTGTCCTTAGGTGAGCCGCCCACAGGCCTCTTCATCATTCCTCAGTTGCATGCGAGGCCTTTGGCAAGCCTCCCTGCTGTGCCCAGGTCTCTGCCAGGGCAGGGCTTGGGGCAGCACCAGGCTGGGCAGAGGAGGAAAGCAAGAGGACAGAGCGTCCAGAAGAGCAGCAGAGGGTGGGTGAGGATTTCCCCATGTACCCAGTGTGTGTTCACTTGCCCAGAGAAATAAACCATGCAGTTCCAAACACTGGCACCCTGGTGCAGGTGGCAGAGCTACTCACGATAATGGATGAGTTGTTTTCGTACAGTGGGTAATCAATATGTCCAATAATTATTGGTATCTATTAATAAGGTTTATGTAGCCATATGGTGGATTATTTGGCTATGAAAAGGAATGAAGCTGTTTTTATTTATTTTTATTATTATTATTATTTTTTGAGATGGAGTTTCACTCTTGTTACCCAGGCTGGAGTGCAATGGCGCGATCTCGGCTCACCGCAACCTCTGCCTCCTGGGTTCAGGCAATTCTCCTGCCTCAGCCTCCTGAGTAGCTGGGATTACAGGCACGCGCCACCATGCCCAGCTAATTTTTTGTATTTTTAGTAGAGGCGGGGTTTCACCATGTTGACCAGGATGGTCTTGATCTCGTGATCTCGTGATCCAACCACCTCGGCCTCCCAAAGTGCTGGGGTTACAGGCGTGAGCCACCATGCCCGGCCCAGCTATTTTTAATGCGGTCTTGCCACGTTGCCGTGGCTGGAGTGCAGTGACTGTTCACAGGCACAGTCACTGCTTGCGGCAGCCTTGAACTGACCTCGAGTGATCTCCCACCTCAGCCTCCCCAGTAGATGGGACTGTGGGGACACACACTGTGGCCAGCTAGGGATGAAGTTCTTATGTTCTGTAATACGGGTGGACCTGGAGAAAATGCAGTGGAAGAAACCTGTCTCCAAAGGCCTGTGCCCTGTGATTCCATTTGTTGTGAAATGTCCAGAAAATGTCAGTCGGAAAGGAGATTGGTTGGGGGTGGGAATGGGGACAGTAGGCATGAGATTTCATTTTGGGTGATGGTTTCACAGTCTAAGTGCTGACATGGCTGAATTCTGTCACATGCAGAGCGTAGCTTCCGAGTTCTGCTGGGTCTCCTGGGAGATGCTGGTGCTGTTAGTGACTGGGAGCCACGAGACCTTTGATGTCCTCCCAGGACTTAGCCTGTTGGCCGGCTCCAAGGCCGAAGCCCAGGCTACTGGGGGAAGCCTCGAAGGGTAGGAGGGCCTCCTCAGCAGTGGGGAGGGCTCTGCCCAGGAGGAGCCCTGCACTGTTGCTGACCGAGGGGCACTAGCAGCCCAGCTGCCTCCCTGGCCCACCGCCCTGCCCCAGGGTTGTCCCCTCAGCGCCCTGGATGGGCCAGGCATGCTCAGGTTGGAACTGAGGGGTGGCCAGGTGCCTGGGTCTAAGGGTAGCTTGTTGTAGGTTCAGGGTGAGAAGCTCTCACGAGCTCTAGTGCAACCCGTTGCATTCAGACTCGGTTGTGTGAACTGTGCAGGCCTGGGCTTGCTGTGCTGGGCTTCAGGTTTGGGTTAGGGTTGGTAAAGGTGGCCAGGCTCAGTGGCTCATGCCTGTAAACTGCACTGTAGGACGCTGCAGCGGAGGAGCACATGAGCCCAGGAGTTTGAGACCAGTCCAGGCAATGTGGTAAGACCCCATCTCTGTAATAAATAAAAATTAGGCCGGGTGCGGTGGCTCACGCCTGTAATCCCAGCACTTTGGGAGGCTGAGGTGGGTGGATCACGAGGTCAAGAGATTGAGACCATCCTGGTCAACATGGTGAAACCCCGTCTCTACTAAAAATACAAAAAATTAGCTGGGCATGGTGGCGCATGCCTGTAATCCCAGCTACTCAGGAGGCTGAGGCAGGAGAATTGCCTGAACCCAGAAGGCAGAGGTTGCGGTGAGCCGAGATCGCGCCACTGCACTCCAGCCTGGGTAACGAGCGAAACTCCGTCTCAAAAAATAAATAATAATAAATAATAAAAATTAGACATGTGTGGTGGTGCACACTTCTAGTCCCAGCTACAGGTGGATCACTTGAGCCTGGGAAGTTGAGGCTACCGTGAGCCAAGATCCCACAACTGCACTGAGGCCCCGTATTGAAAAATGGGGAGCGGCCAGGTGAGCACTTTGGAAGGATGAGGCAGGTGGATCATTTGAGATCAAGAGTTCATGACTAGCCTGACCAACATGGTGAAACCTCATCTCTACTGAAATACAAAAAATTAGCCAGATGTGGTGGCGCGTGCCTGTAATCCCAGCTACTAGGGGCTGAGGCAGGAGAATCGCTTGAACCCCGCAGGCAGAGGCTGTAGTGAGCCGAGATCACACCACTGCACTCCAGCCTGGGTGACAGATAAGACTCTGTCTTAAAAAAAAGGCCAGGCCCAGTGGCTCACGCCTGTAATCCCAGGGAGCTGAGGCAGGTGGATCACTTGAGGTCAGGAGTTTGAGACCAGCTTGGCCAACATGGTGAAACCCCATCTCTACTAAAAATACAAAATTAGCTGGGTGTGGTGGCACATGCCTGTAATCCCAGCTACCAGGGAGGCTGAGGCAGGAGAATCACTTGAACCTGGGAGGTGGAGGTTACAGTGAGCTGAGATCGCACCACTGCCCTCCAGCCTGGGCAGTAGGTGAATCTCCGTCTCAAAACAAAATGGGTTGTGGGCTTCAAAGCCGGTGGCTAGTGCATGATATGCTGCCCCCATGAGGTGGTGCCATGACCCCATGCAGGAACCTGGCACCCCTGGTGGTCTCAGCCACAACAGGACAAGATGGGGGCAGGGCGGGGCAGCCTTGACGGAACAGGAGTCCTCGGCCCTCAAAAGCAGGAGTGAGGGTCTGGCTGGGGCTGCTCCTCTGGCAGGAGTCCACATGTGCCCATGCTTGGAGGCCTGAGACTGCATCAGCATTCATCTGTGACCCACCTGGGACGGCACCCCTGGGAGCCCCTGGCATCACGCCTACCCTTTGCCCAGCTCTACCAATGCTCCCTATAGGTCTGAGGGCTCAGGCAGGTCCCTACCAAGGAAGGGACCCCGTTCAAAAGGCCGCCCAGCAACAACCCTGACCTGGGTTCCCGGGTAGTAGCACAGGCGGTTGTGTCTGGGGTGCCCTGACCCCGACCCCATCTCTGAGTCTAGCCCATGTTACAGCCCATCACAGCTGGGGCAGGTGATGTTAGGGGACAAAGGGGACGGAGACAGTGAATGAAACAGCACAGGAAAAACGACTGCTTTAATGTATTAGGCAAAGTTTCACATAAAATCAGAAATCTGTGATCTGTCCCTGCTCCAATTGGTAAAAAACGCCATGTGCAGTCAGGCCCCGACTGGCCAGCGGTGCAGACCTGGAGTCCAGCGCAGGGGTGGCACTACTTCCCATTCTCTGCATTGAACATCTGTTCCTAGGAGCAAGCACAGCATGAGCGGCACGGTCGGCCTCCACCCTGCCGTCTGCACCATGGAGCCCCACACCAACACTTGGAAGGAGGGAGGCCCTTGTGGGGTCTGCACTCTGAATGGGGCAACACCACAGTCAGTCACCACACAGGCCAGAGAGGAGCCAGGACCCACCACGGGGAACCCTCCTCCCCGATGGCCTCAGCAGGCCCCTCTTGCTGGGCAGCCCATGAATGAGACCGGGGACCAACTTTAACACCCATGCCCAGGCCTGGACTCTCACGGGGCTCAGCGTATGTCCGGGGCTGCCCACACACAACACTCACTGTCAGCATCCGCTCCAGCTTCACTGCGTCAGCAGCAAACTTGCGGATGCCGTCGGAGAGCTTCTCCACAGCCATCTGGTCCTCATTGTGCAACCAGCGGAAAGACTTCTCATCCAGATGGATCTTTTCCAGGTCACTGGCTTCGGCTGGAGGGACAAGAACCAGCTGTGTCCCTCCCCACCTTGGCCCCTTGGGCTCAGGGCTGTCCCTGAGCTTGCTGCCCAGCGTCTCCCTCAGCCCCAGCCAGGCTCACACTGGAGTGGGGTTCGACCCATGGTGCCTCAGCTGAGGACTTGGGTGAGATGTGTTAGGGAAGCCCAGCCCTCTACTGAGGCTCACTTCACCCTCATGTCTCCTGAGATGTCCTTGCCCCAAGGTGGGAAGGTTCCCCCACATCACCACAGGGTGGAGGGACCTCACCCGCCTTGGCTGAGAGCACAGGCGCCAGCTTGGTGTTGTCCTTGAGCAGCTCTCCCAGGAGCTTGGGCGAGATGGTGAGGAAGTCACAGCCGGCCAGCGCTTTGATCTCGCCCGTGTTGCGGAAGGAGGCGCCCATGACGATGGTTTTGTAGCCGAACTTCTTGTAGTAGTTGTAGATTTTAGTGACACTCTTTACCCCTGGAAGGAGACCAGGCTGTGTCCAGGAAAGCGTCTGCAGAGGTACCGCCCTGCCTGCCCTCCCGGTGCCTGCCAGCTGCACTACCTTGAGCCGCCATCCCTGCCTGCCCCACGCCGATCTGTGCACCTCACTGCTTGTCGATACACCAGCTCCATCTCGGGCTCTTTGTGCCTGAGGCTTCTCCCCTTACCCCATTACCTCAGGGGGACCCTCACCAGGGTCTTCCAGTGGCTCGTACGATTTCTTGTCGGTGTTTGCCACATGCCAATCAAGGATGCGCCCCACAAATGGGGAGATGAGGGTCACACCCGCCTCGGCGCAGGCCACAGCCTGGGCGAAGGAGAAGAGTAGCGTCATGTTGCAGTGGATGCCATGCTGCTCCTCGAGCTCCCTGCGGGGCGGGGGCAGGTGAGTGCAGGCCAGGTGCCCACCCAGAGCCACAGGCTGCCACAGATGCTTATGGGGCCTTAGACTAAAAAGGCAGGAACAGGCTCGGGCCATTGTTAAGAACAAATCTGTAATAGTCAAGAGGGTTCTAAATGGATAGGGGGTTATGGGTAACCTGGATTTTCTCCAACACACATTACACAATAGACAAAGGCAAGGGAGGCCCGTGGGTGCCCCTGCTCTTGCACAAGGCCCTCACCTCATCCCAGAACTCACCAGGGCTCAGCTCCCAGGCTAGAACCACTGAGTCAGCCCTATCACCGTCTAGTCCTCACCCTGCTCCACCCTAGCCCTTCCAGGGGCCACCCTGCAGCAGGCCCACAGCACCCTGGTTTGTGCCAAGAGAGGAGCCCCTTGGCCACACGAGGCCCTTGCCCCAGTCCCAGTGCACTTTGGACATCCTGGGGTTGATCCCCAAGGACGGAGCAGTGCCCATGCT